GAGACCTCAAGTAGCTATGCTGCCAGTTCCAGAAATAAACACGATCGTCTCTCCGCGGTGCCGCTCGTATTTGTCATTTTCTCCTATGTTCTCCACAATGATGATGATTGCTAAGTGACGCTGGCCATTCGAAGCCCGGACATTCGTAGCTGAGCACAGGACATCCCCCAGCCCTGTAGTCTCGGACTCGTGTCTTTTGTTAGTACTCTACGAACCCTCTTTGAAGCAGGGTTTTTTGTCCTCAAGGGAATGTCTCCCTCCTCCACGAAATCGCACGTCGTTTCAAAAAGTTTCCGCATGTTTCTCCGCTTACTTACCATCAGGAGCATATCATCAATCATCAGCGAACAAAGAGCCCTAGCGAGAGCTATTGGCTCGGGATCTCATGGAGAGTACGCCGGTTTTCACCTTTCACGATCGATATCCGCGATTCTCTCTTTGTCTAGATATTACGCAGGTCAGCCTCGAGGCGGACCTCCAAAGGAGAGCCCGCATATTTTGACCTGGTAGATGATACCTAGCTTTCCTTCGACTCAGAAAAGCGACGATAAGCCAGGATTTTCTCTCTAACTGAATATCCGCGTAGCCGCATCATTTTCCACCATCAGGAACTTGTCTCTTCCCGAGAGCGGGGAGCCTCCCCCCGTTGTCCTTCCTAAATCCATCTGAGAGTCTGAACCCTGCTGACAGCTAGTGATATTCAGCGGAATCACAAGATGTGATTTCAAGGGGACCGCTTGATAGAAATCATTTTCCCACAGTGGAGCCTCGGTTGAATGCGTATTTTCCGCCGCCGAATGACTCTTCTCACGAACGGAGCTCCTGATTGGGTTTTTCTATCCCGGGGAGATACACGGACGGGAATAACTACCAAATTGAGGGAGTTCACGCGACTAAAACTTATCGCTGATTAATAAGTCAGAAATATTTAATTGTTCACTGGACGTGATTCTCTGAGGACGTTCATCGGAATCTCGGATCCTGAGGGGATAGATGATCTAGCTGCAAAGTAAGGAAGGAGCGACTCTGTCGAGACGTCGAGCGATGAGGTGAGGGTAACGAAATTCCACGAGAGATGGGCTTCACAGAGAATTAATTGCTATGATGAAGCTCTGCGATGTTTTTCTGTGGGCAGAAATCGCCTAGTCTCGGACTCTGTTTTTCTCGAAAAGCATGTCAATACCTCTGACACCGCTTCTAGTTCTGGGAAAGCTCCCGAATAACGTCATGTGACCACGGCCGTTGTCTTCATGCCAATTTCTGTCTTCGCTTCGATCTTGGAGCAGAATGCCCTCTGCAAGCAGCATTGGGAATTCCGGTGACACAACTGGATCGATTATTATCGGTAGATGTTGCTCTTGATGGTGATGCACGCAGAAACACTTCTCGATCTTGTGATGCTCATGATTCATGAGTAACATATTGCACAATTGATTGAATATAGTCCTGATTGTTTTATTCTCCATCGGCTCCATGGATATGAGCGTTGATTCGACCGCAATCGGCATCAACATGCAGAGCTCGCCTCACAGACGATGCCCCACGAGCTCTCGACAGAAAACGTGTGTCCTAGGAGCTGAGCAACTAAACGACACGCATTGTTTATGGGGCGGGAGCGAGTACGGATCCGAGTCCGGATACGCGATCGCAAATGTAATCATTCCCAAAGCGAAAAAAAAATACATCCGATGAGTTTGTAGAGAGGCGGAAATGACGTCTCTGGCGGAAAATTGTCACTCAACCCGAGCGAGATGCGCCCCGTAATGGTCGGGCGAGAACGTGCGATCAACGTCGAGCCGAGTCACTCTGTCCGATTCAGTGAGAACGTCTTCTGAACCTCTTCGAGTGCTCTTCGTTCGATAAGGCGAAATACATTGGAGTTCCCGCGATCCAGTGCATTAACTTGGAGTCAGTTATTCGGTTACTGCCGGCCGCTTGTGTAGACCGCTCGAGCGGAGATCGAGCTACGAGAGTTTCGGAATGGAATCTGAAACAACTTACGCGAGGTGAGCACAGACAAACTATAACCGCGTTTTACAAAGCCTCCGGTATCGCTTTACCCGGCTCCTATCGTTGCTTTCGTAATTATACAGGACTTGCGAATGGTACGCAAGTTCTCCCATCTTCTGAATATGCGTTGCGAGTCGCAATCCGAAAATTCTCTTGCTGGCGAAGGAGTCGCTCAGTAACGATCTCAGTGTCAACAACAACTTAGCTTGAAGCTTTTGTGCGGGGGAAAGTCCGTTTCTTTGCGCGGGAATGTCGTTAAACTTGCGCTGATCACCTGGCGGTCAAAAGTCATTCTCCGACGCTTACCCGGATTGAGTGACATTCTTCCCTCCCACAGTGTTTTTTCCGAGCCCAGATCCCTTCGGAGTTGTGTATTTTTTTCTTCGAATTACCCAACTGCCTTGCTTTCGGTCACTAATGAAGGCTGTTCAGAAGAAACAGACGAGCTCAGAGTCTCGATTAAGATTGTTTTTCCTCCCCAAAAAATCGGGCCATCAGAAATCGCTGAGGTCTGCTCCGAACTTGCTTACTGTATCGTGGCCTTCGACAACGGTCTACGGGCCCAGAAAGCTCTACATCGATCTGTCTGAACTGACATAGAATCTCTGCGAATTACGATTTTGAAGGAGGAATCTGTCGTCGACGAAGAGTCGTGAATGAATGTCAATCATTCATCGCCAATCCAGCGCATGTGTCTCGTTCTCCGCCGTTCTCACAACGCCGACCGTGGTCGACGTCGTCGTCATGCTAAAGGCGGAAGAGCGAACCTTGACTTTTGCTCACAGTATCCCCGTGACTCATTCAGTGAACGAGATACGATTTTTTCACGATGCAGCACTAGTTTCGGCTTCTTCGACTTCAAACAGGAGTGAAGAATCGAGTGAAAAAATTGGATCAGTCAATTTCTAGTCGAAACCTGTCGCTTGCGTGGTTTTCTTTCCGTCGAGAAAGCAGGAAATCTTGGGCTGTGGCTCAAGCGAAGAAATCACTTTCGAGTTATATACGACTTAAAATCCTCGTGATCTGAGTCAGAACATTTGATGGGACAATTCCGTGACAAACGCTCAGCTAATCACGATTTTCCTCGGAGTGATTTGAGTTTGCAGAATTCACCCGAGGAATACAGAATCACAAGCGTTTGAGAGACAATTGGAAACTCGCACGTCGCCTCTGGAGACGAGAGCGAGATCAATCCGTCGATTGCGCTTCTTCGGTGCACATCACGCGAAGAGTTCAATCATGCGAGAGCGGACGGAACATGGAAGTATTTCTGCTTCTGTAACTCTTAGTGGAAAAACTTGAGAATCGTGAGCGCCAACTTGGACAGCCTCGGACGGATTCTGCGAATCCTTCAACGCCCGACAATACTCCAATTATGCTATCTACTTCTGGGGCAGTAGTGATCCGAGGAGCTTTTCGGTCTCCACCTGGATAGAGGTTGCAGGGAAAGAAAACCCCTCAAACATCTTGACCCTCATGATCCGATTGTCTCTCATGCTTATGCGCTCGCGGAATTTCGCGAATGTTCTCCGCAGTCTGTTCAAATTTCGATCGCGTAAATATTTAGGAAGATCCAACACTTTCTTAGGAGCCGTCCCGCTCTCGTCTGATTCGGAGGCGTCATTCCGGGAATTCGCTCGCCAACCTGTTCTCGGACCGAGGAGAAGCTCCCTCGCTCGCTGGCGTTCTGGCAGTATGTCATGAGGCTCGAACTACAACACCGCCGCCGGTCTTGAGTTTCTGGTCTTTATAAACAGCATCAGCTGCCGCGAAGTGACGCACGTCGGTGCGGGCATTTACGTGACGTGTCACGAGCTTGCAATGTGATCGAAGAGACTCATTGCGGGCCCGGGACAGACCGAATGTTCTCGCTCGGACATCGAACTGCTCTCCACGAGTTCGAGCCGGACCACCGGAAACATTGAACATGGGTGGTCTCCATGTCACATCTGACATATCCGCGTGACCGCGACTGGAGCGAATTGCCGTGACTAGGGTTTTGGCCCTATGAACAATGAAGCGAACGAAACGATCAATTTCTCTAATAATTCGGGAAATCTTTGATTCTCTCATCGCTGAGGAAAAGCTCAAGAAACGTTTACGGGGATTCATTGAGGGTTGTATTTATTGTATGTATTTGGCGGCAAAATGGCAAAGCTAGCGGACTAACGCCGGAGCGACGCGCTGCATCAAAGTGCATCTTTCTGCCGACATCCCGAAAAGCCTCAATTTCCGTTCCCTGCATCACAACAAAAGCGAAAGAAAAATCGAATCGATCGCATCTCGTGTTTGCAGTCTGTACGACCTTTCGCCGATGACTCAACGCCGACCGCACCGCTTTCACTTTCGATCCGTCGACTTCGCGACTCACGAACAGCTGAATTTTGGAGGTTTCGGACTTGAATCGCGGCCGGTCCTTCCATTATTCATTCGATGTGGGAAAATTCAAGCGACCGTCTTTCCGGAGTCGCCTCAAAGACATGCTCGTGCGTCCAACACGCGAATAATGACAAGCCGTCTTCGTCGCATTAGGCTCCTCGGTAGCTCGCGGATGTTCGGTTGTTTCACGCTCGTCGAGCCGATTCCATGCATTCTCCTTCGGGTGGATGTTCGCTTCGACTGAGGCGGATCTCTGGGATCACGGAATTACTCGATGGGGACGGAAGCTTGTGCTTCGTCTCCCTACCTGACGGCACATTCTTCAGTCTATCATCGAACCCCCCTCCCCAGCAATTTCCGCCCCGGCGTTTCCCCTTGCCTGTAGGACGAAGATCACATTACGTACGAGAGTTCTCGGAGTGACACATAGTACACGGTCCTCTCCCAAGATGATCCATCGGGTCCTCGAGGGCGAGAGTAGGATCTTGGGAACCATATGAAAACAGTCGCAACTTCCAGTGGTAAGGGTAAGGGACTCAAAACCACGTGTTTCGCCTCCACTCAATGGCGAGGGTATATCTAGAAAAGCAAGCACTCGTAGCTGTAGGACCGTATAGCTGCTAGTCGGTATTGTCAGTCATAAAATTCAAGTTCCCAAGGAGGTTCGAGCCCGGAGGTCACTCGATAAGCAACGGAGTGCCCGGATCCCTTCAAATTGGCTTTTACAAATTGTGGATTCCCGTTCATATTCGTAGCTCCCTGGTGTGATTCGGATATTAGGATTTCTCATCGGAGTGCGACATGGCTCAGAGAGTCAGGTAAGACTTCGAGTATATCGCCCAAGTTGCGGATGACAGTGCTAGGGAGACGAACTCGCCTCATTTTCGGAAATGACTGAAGAGAGAGCGGCCGAGGCTCTTTTTTGGTCACCTTGAATCAGAAGTCCAAGGAGTAATTTTCGTTCTGTGCTGGCTCCCTATCTCGAGCTCATAAGGTGAAAGTGGCAGACAACGACATCTCGTAGAAGCGCGATCGCCCGCACAATCGGCCGCGACTTTCCGAGTGCACCGATCAGCTTCGGATAGCGCCCTGCTCATATGTACTCCTCGAATCACTCAAAATCCGAATTAGCGACCAGCGGTTACGAGATTCGATAATTGTGCTTCGAGGGCATCTTCGCTCGCTACTCCGCTCCGCTCCCAATTATGTATTTTATTCATCCCCTCGATCACTTCCGTTCGCACTCATGTGGCCTCGATCCCGAGTAGGGGTGATAGATTCGAAGACCGATCTTGTCATTGCCGCTCTCGGTGCACAGAGTTTGCACCCCTCAGCTCACTCCCCTTCCCCCTCTATCTTCTGAATAGCGGTCCGAGTAAAGAGGAATCCCAGAAAGGCTCTAGAAGGGACTCCGAAATAAGTTTCTCTCAACACCCGTTCAGTTTGTGACGCGACCCCAATTCACAGGAGTCGTCGAAGCTGAGCACATTAGTTGACGAGTCAAGACCTTGAATGTCAAATTGAGCGTTACGTCATCTCTTTCCATCTTGGAAGGAGAGCAACGAAACAAGGGGAGAAAAAGAGCGAGAAGGCTCCACGAGGCCGGAAATGACAGTGGATGCGAAAGTCAAGAGGGAGCTAACAAACACAGCGCTTGTCATCGTCAGACACGACTTGACGCTCGAGTGGGACGTCCCGTTTATAGCTTTCCACAACTCGTCCCCCCATCGATCGCCACGGTATACCTTCTCTGATGAGTCAGCTTCCGAATAAATCCAGAAAATTCGACCAGAGGCGATCGATCGCAAGACCCCCGCGATGATTGAGGAGCTTAACGGCTCTCTTCTGGACGATCGTCAGCGAAGTTCGGAGCGATCAATCTGACAGCGAGAATTGTTAGCTTCTTCATTGGCCAGGGAACTCCTCCATGCGAGAGCGGTTCAGTTCGGATCGCCGAATTCAGCGCAAACGACAAGTATGTAGTACATTCGCGGCCATTTCGAGCGATTGACGGCGGATCGAAGGGCAAAATGAAGAGCGAAGCTTCAAAATGCCAAAAGTTATTCAACGGAACGATATTTGTTTCACTGTAGTAGCTCAGTCAATTCCGGTGATGCTTGCGAAACTTTTGACGGACGTAAAGCTGCGGCGTGTATCGCCACCCGAAGGGCCAGCCAGCCAGTCAGTCAGTCACTCAACGAACGAGCGAGCGGGCGTACAGGCCAGCAGGCAAACAGGCAGATGAAAAGGCTGGCAAACAGGCAAACACGAGAACCCCGTTGATCTTCGCAATGACGTCGTACCCAAGTGTTCTACGCTACCGAGCGGCCGCACGGACTCCGCGATGTTGCCTCCGAAGTGGTGTCAAGCTCTCAATCGCAGTCATGTCGCAATTTCGCAATTTTCTTCCTGTGATAATACTCCGCGTGTGCGGACTCGAAACCGGAATGCTGCTCACGGTAGGCAGGAAGCGAAACGATGGACGATTCCGATTCTCGCCCGGGGATAGTTCCCGTCATTACGGAAAACGATAACAGCGTTTCTGGGAAACATTGCCGGGAAGCTCGAAATCAGGGAGAGTCCGCAGTTCGCTCCTGTTCCTCTTGAGGATTACGCTCCTTCGGCGGACGTTCGACTCGTTCCTTTCGTACCGCAAGCTGCGGTATCAATTATAATACTATATTTGTTTCCGATCCGCGGAGAACGCCTGGAATACACACACATGCACGCACAGTTACACTTACGCGTGGGAAGCAGGGGACACAGCGCATAAGATGGAGAAAAAACGTAAGAGGGAAATACTCCTCATGTGTTTTGACAACTTCAACGTTAACGTCGCGCTACCGGCTGACGCATCTTGGAAAGACATGAGGACGGAATGCTACGCATGCTTCGGAGGCAAACTCTTTTTTCCAACACCAATTCTGGTTTCCCGGATCATATGCCCGAAAATTATCGCCGGCCGAAAGTGCTCCTGGGCGGATTCGGACCTGCTGCTCGGTAGATATCATACTTCGCGGTATCGCCGCTTCTCAGAAGTCGGACCATTCGGATGAAGTCACAAGATTGTACTGAATGAGAGCGAAGATTTCAGGGGAGAGCGTCGAAAAATATCCAGCAAACTCATTTTCAAAATGTCAGATCCGTCGGACTAGAATTTTATGAAATAGACCTTTCGAAATGGAGGAAAGTCCGAACGCCGTCGATACCGGTCGACATGTACTCAACGGAACGTACGTTCGCGGTCGGTCGATGAGTCGACCGGCGTTGCCGACTGGACGTCGATAAGTCACTTCAAGGGTCCGCGGGGCTGTCAGAATAGGAACGCTCAAATTGCGGCTGGGTGGATGCATCCATCCATTCATCTACCGGGATTCCGATTTGAATGAAAGAGGGGCCGGTCTACGGCTGACGCTGAATTGATCCGAACAGATTTGATCCTTGGATTGTGGACATAGCGTGAGGAAACTTCAGAGTTGGAGAAAGAAGCAGAAGAAAATTCCACTCTGGACGGGGAATGGAAGCTGCTCCGCTCAATCACAATCGGGGACAAGGAGTGACGACGGCGACCGCCGACATCTGGTTGTCTTCCGACGAAAATCCTTTGAAAACTCATCCGCTGTTATAGGTATTTTCATCGTTCTCTCGCTATTCTCTCCCGCGCCTGAAGGACCTTGACAATACTTTGACTATGCTCTTTTGCAACTCCAATGACGTTGTTGTTTTCTTAGAAAATCGAGTGGCCTCTTCTTTGTTTGGCCGAACTTGCGAAGTGGATTTTCGAATGTGGGATTTTGACGTTGCTGACAGTTGCGATTCCCGGATTCCATTTCCGGAACAGGATCTTCGCCGCTGCCGGGAGATTGATTCATTGACAGTGGCCGCCCGCTAAATATTTGTGCTAGTCCACGCATGTTCTCCAAGTGATTGCGAAGCTCACTAGATTTCTGTCAGTATGCTCAATCAGAGCATCAATCAGAGCCAGATGATTCGCTTGAGCGTTCTGAGTCCTCCCGATCGCAGAAGCCAGTCAGTCCTCTGGAGGGACGAATTCGTTCCGTGCGAGCGCATCCAGTCAATCGGAATGTATGCTCGTCCTTGGGGGAAGAATGGGCGAGCTTTGCACCGAGGTCGTTCCGTCGCTGGAGAGTACGAGCGTCCATATTTCCCTAATCGGAGTACGCGCTCCTGCTGAAATCTTTTCTTGGCCGCTAAGCAGATCACTTGATTCGATCACGACATATCCGTGGACATTTCCACCGGATGACACGAGCGAGGAAGCAATCAAGCTCTACCCTGAGGTTTCTAGCGTGCCTCCGCTACTCCCAACGTCTTCGCAATCTTTCATTTATCCACGATTCCATTACTCCGAGAATCGCCACAAGCTTAGGTGAACGACTTGAGCCTGATGGAGATATCAGCCGGCGGCACTCGTGGTCTGAATTTCAGTCTTCGATACTGACCGCAGGTTAATGAGCTATCTTCCCTTCCAGGACGAAGACGGTCCAAGAGGAGAGCTTCCCGGAAAAGACTCTGAAATACTCAGCAGTGAAATCCTCCTCACCGCACGACATGGACGAAATAGAGGTGACTCTCAATCTGTTAGAAAAGTAGGGCCCTTCAGAAAGATGACTCTGATCCGATTACTCATTTTCGATTCAATCGTCAGGCCCAGAAGATGGGGGAGCGCGTGGAGTACATGCTCCGAGAGGGTCTGGAGAAGCTCGAAGAGTTGTGGGCCTCGACCGGCATCACGACAGCGAAGCTCAGGGATCTGCTATTCATAAACATCTTGAAGGTAGACGTCGATCTCTCTAGCGTTGGAATGAATTCTCCTGATTCCCCTGATATCTAAAACATCGTAGCGTTGACCCGTGCCGAGCTCGGTGTAGGCGGACAGGTCTCTCAGAAGCTTGAGCTTGCCGACCTCGGTTCGGAGAAACATGGCTACAGATTCGAGCGCGAGTATTTTCTGCTTGAGGTGCTTCCACTAATTCTTGTTCTCTTTCGCATCAAGGTCGGCCTGCTTCACGCGTGTGCATTATACGGAATCCTGTACCTCCCGTACATGAAATGGCAAACGGCAGCATGGAGTAAGTTACTATCGCAGTTTCTTTTCTTTTCGATTTTGTTGCGGATAGCCGGCGATTTGCGAATCCCTCATCCCATTGAAGGAGTCTCCCAGAAAAAAGTAGCACCTCATAAAAGCGAAACAACATTGCCAAATCATTATGGAATAGCTGTTTTTTCGCGCTTCCGACAGGCGTGTTCCACATGGACATGCTTCACTTTAGCCTCCGAGTTGAACTTGCGCCTCGAAGGTTCCCTCTCGGATGGCGGTGGCGAATTCTATCTGTCCCGAAGACCGATGCCCACTCCCCCATCTTTTCTGAAGGCTTGCAGCGCTCTGCTCGCTCGTCATATTTGTTCATCATACCCGGTGGCTGTCTCCCATTGACGCGAAACGTCAGCCTTGTGATAAAAATTCGTTTTTCGCGAAACTGATGCAAACGCTGTCGGATGGGACCGGAAGAATGCTGTCGAACCGATGGTTGTTCTCTCTGATGAACATCGTCGCTGTAATCACTCTTGTCCAAGACATCATTTTCCGCTTGAACGCGCGTCCCCCTGGGAATTTCACTGCGTCAATTTCTGTCCGGCGAGATTCCGATGACGTGAGAAACGGCACGCGTAGAACAGTTACAAGTACCGTACCGTAATGGGGAAAACGCTCAGTTCTGATTGAGTGCTGCCGAAAAAAAAGTGATTCCGTTGCTCGCAGAAATTCACGATCCGGGGTGAATTCTTGGTGAGATGAACGTCTGGAATGGGTCGGCTCCACAGAAAATCGTCGGAAGTGCGCTGGTCCCAACGATTTTCCGAGCAAATCCACGGCTGTCCGCCGCGAGGAAGAACCGGCTTCGAGTCTCGTTGCGAGAGTACCCCGCGCCGACGAACTCCGCCGGACAGCTCTCCAGGAGCAATCTGTCCCGATCCCGTCGCGAGATAGGCCCAATGCGGTCCAAACCTCGCGGTTCCGATCGGGACTCGGAACCCACATCGGTCACGGCAATCGGAATTCTATCGATCATTAGCGGAAAACTGGATGCCACGGACTTTCTCGAGAAGCTTGGCACTTCAGTTTGACGATGAATTCTCCAAGCCGAACGTATGAGTCGGATTTTGAAATCCTTCTGCAGACTTTCGTCAGTCGCCTGCCCGGACTTGTTGTCTGTACTTGTGAAGTGTGGAAGAAGCACTTTCGGAAAACAGCGAGACACCCCAATGGAATAGCGTCAACAGCAAATCGTCTGACTGAATACAAAGCTCTCCGGAATCCGGCGGCTCCTTCGACGTCCCAGCGGAAGTGTGACTAGTTGTCTTACAGGAAGCTGATGGATTATCTGATCGAAGAGCTGAGGGATGATTCTATGGGTTTGTTAAAGGGTCGCTTATTTGAAGGATTGCCGGTTACGCTTCGCGTGGATCTTGGCTCAACGGTCGAATTTTCGGTGCAAGTGCACTGCGTAGCTGTCTTCCGATCTTTGATGTCTACGAAAGCGGGCGTAATGTCAGTGACACCATCCGTAGTCTATGAATATACGGGAACCCTCTCGCGGAGCCCCACGACAGCCGTGAGCCTCGACATTGAAATCCTCTGGGAGCTATGGACTCCCCCTTCAAGCGCCGGGGAGGGAGTTCTCCACACATCCGCAACCGCATTCATGAATTTCACTGATGTCGATCCGCTGTGCATTTCTCATTTCCAACGCCCGAAGCAAACGAGCCGAAAAAGCGATTCTTCCAACGAAAGAGCTTCGTTGCATGCTCTGTCGGAAGCGTCTTTCGTCGTGTGACGTGGATTGGCTGAGTCATGGACGTCTTTCGAAGAAGCTATAACCGACCGAAAGAATTTCTGAGCTATCAAGCGCTCACGTAACGCTCCCACCGGAAACGAAGGTCGCTCAGAAAAAACCGATCGGCACTAAACTGACTGAGCGAGCTGGAGATAATCGGGAGGTTGCTCTCCAAATTGGCTCGAAATATCCCTCGCAATTGCTCTTCTTGCACGTTGCTGCGATTCCTCCCTCACAAATCTCATCTGGATTCCTGTCATCGGATGAATTTCTCCTGACCGCAGACCTTAGTTGTCGGCGGAAAATGACGAACCGATCTCAGTGCGGTACCCACGGACAACGGGGGTAATTTTCCGGGAGAAGCTACTCCTTGCTTGATTTCGCTATATCTGGAGGCGATGCTCGAAGTTGGAAGAGCGTCATTGTGAGTTATGGAATCAAATGCGCACCTTTCCGGGCGAAATGATTGGGATTCTCTCGACGTCCCATAGAGCTGCGTCCTCCTTTTGTTGTTCGCTTACGGGAAGCTGGACCGGCGGGAGCTTGTCAATCCGCAAACAGAGTCGGGAGTTATCGACACCGAAAAACGGGTCAAGAATCAAAGGTCGAGTGATGTCAACACGAAATCATCAGGCATTGCTTTAACGCGTTCCGCGAATTTTCGTTGAAGTTTTTGACTCTTGAATGCGCTTGTCTTCGGGGGCGTTCACTCCATTCAAAATCAAACCTTGAGCTTGTCTTATTCGATCAAGCTTGCCAAGATTTCGATTTCATTCTATCAAAAGTGACAAGAATCCGATAATTCTTCATTCCGGATTGATCGAATCAGTATCGCTGATCCGCGCTGCCCGACTCGCGCTGGGACCTGTCAAATTTTGCCGAATCCGGACAGCTCGGCTGCGAGAAGAAGGACAGGAGACACTGTGATTGGGAAAAGCCAACGTGATTACGAGAAAAAAAATGGAAAAAAAACAGTTGTGGTCAGAGGATTCCCCCATGGCTTGTTGACACTGTTCGGAAGCAATCAAAACGAGCAGCTTCTTGATTGCTTTCGGTCATAAAAAATTGTTTGGAGAAAGACCTGTGAAGAAAGCTCGACTCCCACCTCGACCGTCACCAATGGGCGTGTATAAGCGCATAAGCGCTTGTGAAGTTCGATTTTCCTCTGAAGAGCCCGGAAAACGAATTATCCGGCAATTGGGTGGGTCGGCATCACGCGCCTGATTGATTGCTGAGGAATACCGCGGAGAAGATCGTCGTTAGGGCTCCTGTGGTGTCGCGCTCTTTAGGTGGGTTCGGTGCCTTTGGTGGGTCGATCGTCAATGACTGTCATCCACCCATCCATCCAGGATCGCTGCGAGATAAGCGAGTAAGCACTTATCCGCTCCGCATCCCCCTTGCGATTCGCCCCACTGAAATAGACGGAACACTATGAGTCCCTGAGACCCAGATCCCCGAGAGGATCAAAAGTTTGACTCATTCGCGCACTTTAATGGGGGTCCTTCACTCGGCAAGTGGGAAACCTGGCGGTCGCTCGATTTGTTGATTCGTCCTTTCGTCTGTCTACCGGTTTCCTTTTTCTTGCTCAACGCTCATGTCGTTGATTCGACGAAACGAGTATTCGCGGGGGTTCAAGTTCGATCCGAGCAGCTATCTGATGGCTCAACCCATCGTTCGCCATTTGACTCTTATTCCCACTCAATCATCGGTAGCCAATCCTGGGAATTCGATGGAGAATTCACTCGACAGCGATGGACTCTTGGTCTACCAAGGGTGCACAAGGGAAGAATCGACATTGAGAAAATAAGCACCGTGCGACTCGAATTTGATTCATGTACCACCGTCGGGAGGCGGTCTCAAGCAGCAACGATTCCGGTCAAAGCCCGTAGCTCCATTGCGTCGTTGACGGCAATTCTCAATATGTATTTCGACTCCGCAGCTTTCTACTACCTGTGTGTTTCGGGTTTGTCAGTAACAGCCGGAGCTCATCGACTCTGGTGCCACAGGTCATACAAAGCGAAGTTGCCGCTGAGGATCTTCCTCATGCTGGCTAATTGCTGTGTTGCTCAAAATGATCTCTATGATTGGGTGCGGTAAGTACTGTGAAAGTCGCGCTTCCTCGATACTCAATTTTCCCCGAATGAAGTCTGGATTCCGAGAGCAGGGATGAGGAGAAATTGATTGGAGGTGGGTACTCTGAACGGTTTCAGGGATCACCGTGTACATCACAAGTTCTCGGATACCGACGCGGATCCTCACAACATAACTCGCGGCCTTTTCTTCTCGCACGTCGGGTGGCTTTTCATCAAAAAGCATCCAGAGGTTCGTTTGATCTAGTTCGCGCGAAATGCAACTTCGAGACCGGTTCCTGATCGATCCCGCTCGATTCGACTCGTGTCGTCTAAACATGCTCACTGAATATCTTCTCATCAGGTGACCGCAAAAGGCTCCAAGATCGATTGCGATGATGTCCGCAACGACCCGGTCGTAGCTTTCCAAATCAGGTGACTAGGCTCCACCCATTGCAACCCTACAATTTTGAAATCCTCGAGCTCCGAAGGTTAAGAGGAAGGTCTGACAATTCGAATCTTCGCCAGGTATTACATTCTTCTCACCTTGGCATTCGCTTTCGTGATCCCAACCGTGGTTCCCGTCTACTTCTGGGGCGAGTCCCTTGCTACTGCTTTCTTCGTGTCCACCATGCTGCGACTCGTGAGTCTCTTCTCCGACCGTAATCTGCCGATCCTATTGGATCTGAACCTTTCGTTCTGGCGCTTGGAGCCGTCGACAATATGGAGTCCTCAATTTGAATCTACGCATTCACAGGTCGTGCAACTGAACGTCACGTGGTCCGTAAACTCATTCGCTCACTACTTCGGAGACAAGCCCTTCGATGATTCGATCTGGCCGACGGAGACCAAATTCGTGGCCTTCGCAGCCGCCGGAGAGGGATGGCATAACTATCATCATACGTTCCCCCACGACTACGCGTGCTCCGAGCTCGGATGGTTGGTCTCATTCCAATCGGGGGATATTTCCATAAGGCTCACGATCCGCCCCAGGATCGTGGGAGTGGCGGGAAGGCGATTCCCCATCGGATCGGGGAAGGCGTGAGCGAGGGCTCGTAAGAACAGGACGACTTCGGCAACTGACTTCTGTCTTATTTCAGGTATTTGAACGCCACCAAGATGTTCATCGACACGATGTGGTTATTCGGTCAAGCCTATGACTGCAAACAGGTGAGTTGAGAAAGCTCTGTGGAGAGAGAAACGCCCTGGGAGGGGCTAGAGGGGTCGGTGTACAGAATGGATTTAGGATGAAACACTCCGCATTGTAGGTCACGCAAGAAACCATGGACTCCGTCAAGCATCGCAGTGGAGACGGCACTCGCAGGAACGAGAGCCCTCCCTTCGCGTACTAAAACAGGACGGAGCTGAACCTCAGGACGCTACAGGGTCTCACGCTCAAAAACTTCACGTAATATCCACGTCTAATCTTCCATGTGGTGTCTGGGCACCTAACGCTGTGTGTGGCTGACGGGGGGAATTTCGTGACCGAATCTTCGTGAAATTTGATTTCTGTGGCACTCTCTGTGGTTCTCGTCCGCTTAGTCAATTCTTAGTCCGTCGTATTGTTTTGTAACTCTCCGTTGTGCTGGCATGTCGTCGAAGTGAATTATTTAAAGACTTCTATCACTCTTCCGGTTGTTTCAGAAGAGCGTTGTTCAATTTATAGAAATGAACTCGTCGTACTCGAGTCAGATTTACAGCTTTCTAGGGAAATCCGAGTCGCAGGGGAGCGACTCGTTCCTCGATTTTCCGAGTGGCGCCGATCACGAGTCGATCCGTTCAATGAGTCACAGCAAGTCGGACGATTATTCTCTAGCCGCCGATTTAAGACTGATTCTCGAGGCGCACAACGAACGATGTACGAGAAAGAGGTCTCGTCGAGAATATCGCCGACCAGCCCTTTTTTCGACCCTGTCGATCCCTGGGAAATCTAAGATGAGCTCGCGATATCCACACATGTGCGAGGGCGGTTGCCCGCCCTTCTCGACGATTAGAATTCGATCAGTTCTGGAAAGAGAAGGGGGGACGAATCGCAATTCGCGTTCCGAGGCATTACATGACTGCGCTCACTCATGTCAACATCGAGCGGGAGGGAATCTTCGGAATGCCTCTGCTCGTCGAGGATCGAGTTACGCTGGACCGCAAATCCCGTTTCCCGATCGCGGAGGGTCACCCGGGGCTTCTCGTGACGCCCACACCTACGGAGGAGCTCAAACGCAGTTGGATGCGCAGGAGGGTGACGCTGGAGAATCAACGCTTATATTCAATCAATTTTCGTTTTTCTTATATATATCGAGTATATCCAAAACGATGCGAAATCGGATGAGAATTGAGCAGCAATAAAGGCGTTTATTGATTTCGATGATCATATCGAAGAGAGTCTTTCTTCAATACTTCTGCCGATTCGGCGATCAGATCCCAAACTAGGGAATTCGGATGGACATGCGGAGGAATGGAAACCGAACTGACGGCATTGTTGGCGGGACCATCAGGGTTGAATGTATTGCCCATAGTCGAAGAGTCTCAATTATGAGGTCTCGATTGCGGATACGGATGATGGCTGATGAAATGAGGTGAGCCATCGTCTGTCCACAGATCTAGAATTATTTGAGTCCTGAAAACTGAACCGACTGAAGCCAAAATCGTCGCTGATTCAATGGGCGGATAGCGGGAGATCTTCCCCAGTCGCGTCGGAAAGAGAAGCTCGAACACACAGAATACACAGACTGGAGATGGGAAGATGGATGTGCGGTTCTATTCTTTCCGGGAAAAAGAGAGTTTCCTCGTGCTAATCAGGTCAAGGATTCAGTCCACAAGACCAGGCCACTGATTTTGGTTCCGGCTGCAGATGAGTCTCGGCCAGATTCGCTTTTTCGATTCCGCTCTTCTACCGGACTAGGCGAGAAACCCTGAACTCGAGAATTCTGCAAACGTCTCGGATCGGTGGCGTCCCGATCCCCGACGGGTTCTCCCTTGTGTTTTCGGCGAGGTGTCACGATACCGCTATTTCTGGATTTCACGCTGGACAGCACGCTGGTCCGACTTGACACAAAGAGATTGTTACTTCCAGATGATGTTTCTGTCGACTGAACGTACGAAAGTATCCCGGCGGATCATATATACGCTTCTCCCCTCGACTTCTGAATGGATGGTTCCGATTCCTGGCGCTCACACTTCCGTGAAATTAAGCTAAAGGTCAGCTTCGATGGAATTTCCGCTGTCGGACACGGGATATCCGGAAATCTTCAGAAGCTATGGCAAAAAACGACGATTGGCATGAGAAGCGTGATCCAATGGAAGGATCTCATTCCGACAGTTTTATTTTAATTGTACGATATTCGAGTCTGCGCTCGGCGTTCAACATTGCAAAATTATAAGCTCATTCGGAATGTACCCGACGAATATCGCCTAGCGTCGTGCGAGTAGACTTCTCATATGTCGCCCTGGGGTCACAGATGAGGATATTGGAATTAAGAGTAAAATAAGTAGTTCATTCCTGTCTCGAGAGTTGTTCATCATCACCTCTCGCGACAAGGTCACGACTAGTGGGAGACCCCCGGAGTTTCGCTGTTTCGGACCGTCTCCTCTGAAGGGAGGGGGAAGAGATCTTCTGGCACGAAACACCATGAGGAAGAATCCGATTTCCTGACAAAACACACACACGTTCATGAGATACAAGGTTGCGACCGTTTTCATAAGTGGAACATGGAAGGAGCCCCAATAGTGCTCAATCTGGTCTGACGCATGCAAACTGACAGAGAATACTTGAAAGATAAATTCACCGGGGAACTCTTGATGCCGAGCTCGAAACTACGGGAATCAGTGCTGATCCCGTATTTCATTGATCGAATAGTTCATATCGGGATGTCGTGTCCCCCGGGCGGGGAACGATGGAAGCAGCTTGGAGTCAAGAGCTCCGCAGCATGATGAGACGAAGGATATTTTGGTATTCTGTAGACTTCTCAAAAACATTGCACCGTTCCATCACATTCGTATGCACAGCTCACAGTTATCCCTATGTCTGACAATCTCGTCGTCCGGGATCACGAGTTTCCTGAATGATTGCGAAGGTCTGCTCCCTGACAACGATTTTGGCATGGATTTCAGGGCGATCAACTGTGATCGCTCCTCTGGATTTCCATGGACGAACAGTTTCATCAACCAAGGGGCGGTTCCAGTACACAGACGGACGCTCATTTCTTGAAGCTCCCCGCGATATTTTTCCGCTGAGGGAAGATTCGAAGAAATTTCTGTGCGATGCTCAATAAGCTCGACTACGATTGCGGAATGCTGGTCGGAGCGGGAGCGGGTCTCGAGGCCTGCCATTCGACGAACAGGAAGAACGTTCCCGCGCCGTAGGTGATCATCTGTGAATATCAATCTTTATTGAGGTGATCAATATCATTTAGCTTCGTGTGTGGTCGTATTTCATGTTTCTTCGCTTCTGGGGTTAAGTTTCTCATGCTGAGAAGGATTGTCACGGACGTCACTTCGATCGCTTCCAGTCCTGAGCCTCATGGATTCATCATATTCGAAATCGACGCCAGACAATTGCTGCAATGGTCGAGGCTCAAGAGACCGGTGGTCTGGCGGGAAAAAAGAAGGATGAAACTCACTTGGAAGAGACCGAAGATGCCGGCGACGACATACTGGTTCCTGAATTGTTCGCCGAGCAGTCCGTATATCCGGAATGAGTTCGATGTGGGAATGGCCAGCTCGAGCACGGCAGCTAGGACCCACAGACAGCAGCAGACCAAGGTGTAAATCATTTCCTGGAGAAGAGCGAGAGGCTTTCAGCGCTGCGGCAATCATCCGAGTCGGGGAGGATCGGCGAATTGTTCATTCGTGCGTAAAACGCAGGATGATAGACGAATAATTAGATGAAGGGGAAAATAGACGAGAGAAACGGTGCAGCCCAACTGATCCAGTGATGGGACTGCGTCGATCGTCTTGCTTCAGAGGGGCCTCCAGCCGATTCTCTTTGGGGGTTTCCTAACCCCGGAGCGGACCCAGAAACCTCCCGGAAGAGAGTTAAGAGCTTGTTGAGCAAAGCTGGGTACTCACCGCAAAGGTCCATTCAACTTTCGGAATCGAAATCGTGATGCTGAAAAGCTTCGCCAGTGTGAGCAATGCCGTGCAGATGAAGCTGACCGAAGCGACGAAGATGTAAAACCTGGCGAAGCCGAACAAAGCCGGCGATCCGCAGCCGAGGCAAATGACACCGATGAGCTGGAAAAGAAGAATGATTACTGTCAAATCCATTCAATCCAAATTCTTCGTCAGGGAAAGACTCGAGAATCGGATTTGACGGTTTATCGAGTGAGAGAGCATGAAACTCAACAGGCCGGCGCAACGCGACGTCGTGGTAAGCGTGGCTTTACGCCGGGCCCGGGCCCCCGGTTCCAAGAGTCACGAACGGCTCGGTCAGAGGCAAGTCCAGAAGGAAAATCTGATTCTTGTCCTCATTGATCCGAAGAGTCATAGAAGTACAGGACGATTTCCACGTGGGCGATTTTATGTTTCGAATTCTATTTCCTCGCCGTCTTGCAGGCGGGACGGCTGGGCTCCATTCGGAGGCGATGGCTTCAGGTGGCGTTGTTGTTGCGCGTACCTATTCTTCTATATAAATTTCTCTGTCCATCTGGCTAAGTCCCCAAGAATAAATTGGAATTTGACCTATTCTTCCTTCGATTCAACGATTCGACTCGAGTATTTTGCCCACGGTCGGAATGCATCCTGCTATTGTCGTAGTTCGTTTCCTAGTCCGCCTCATCCTGATCACGTTCAACGCTGATGAGAGACGATTCCCCTCCGCCTCGTCGGTGGTATCGTTGACATCGGCGGAGGAGCAGGGCTCGTGAGCGTCACTCACGGGAAATTTGAATTTCCTGATCGGTAATGCGACTTTTAGCGAGTCGCATAATTAGTAGTTGTTTTCTTCTCCGAAAGCCGTTTGACCGGGCAACGATTGACTGCTGGGTCGATAGATGCGGCCGAATGTGAAAACGACCTGCACCAGGAAATTCTGCACAGAGACATGCATGAAGCGATGGAAGAAGGAACGGCATCGAGGAAGTTACGCGGTGACACGCGACGGCATCATCACCACGCTTACCGATGTCGCTACACCATTTTACTATCTTTTTCCTCCTTTTTTTCTTTTCACCCCGACAGCAGAACACGTTGTGACTGTGCCGAGCGCGTGAGAGGGAGAACTTGAGGACTCGCTGTGAACAATGGGCGTCCGCGTTTGTTAGAAGAAGACTTCTTAAGACAGACGAATGAGTCGAACAGCCGACCGTCCGGCCCACAATGAGATCTGACTCACCAACCGAGCTGGCCGGTCTAGACGCTGATCGAGGTCGGCCGCCGTCGCTCGGTGTTGCTCCCTTCCGATGCTTCGAGTCTCCATGAAACTCGGTGGATTCTTCACAGATTGATGTGCAATGTCTTATCCTTCCTGACGGTGTCGGAATCCTCCCGCGACGCTCCAGCCTGACACGAAGAACCGAATGGAAGGAGCTAGGAAAGACTCCGTTCGGAAATTCGGCAGCGGTCAAGCCCAGAACTCGCGAGAAAAAAACGGATTCCGGCTGAGACTGCCTCAGCCTGTATTTTCCGGAATCGGAGGTAGATTCGATCGACTCTCATCGAAGATCTCGGTCGGATCACGGGGTTCTAATTGAAATGTTGAATTAAAAATAGAATATGGTTCTATGCTAAATAAATGTGGTACTTTACGTCAAGCGTTCCTGGATTCGCAGCTCGACTCCTCGGCTTTGCAATGAGAACATCGAAGTAGCGAACGCTCAGCAAACTCCTTGAGGGCTCGGGTCATGATCGAATGGCGGGAAATAATGAACAGGGGGAGCAGCTTCGTCGCTTATGAATTGCTCGACAAAGTTTCGGCCCTCGGTCGACGTCACTTCGAGTTCCCGACGTGCCAGTTCGCACCGATGCTTTCCGGAAACGACAGGGAGCCCGTAGAAAGGTAAGATCCCTCATTTCGCAGCGACTGACAGAGTTCTTTCGTCTACTTGAAGTTGGTAGGCTGACTATAAAAGCAGGCGGCGCTCACAAACTTCTCGGTAACTTCAACAGGATACCCCACCCATTCGCGTGTTGGGTCAGAGCCCCGGGATGGAGCATGGTTCGAGCAAGAAAGCTAGCTAGCTACTTCCCTTCACCGACGCAAAAAAAGAAAGAAATAGCTCCATGTGGGAAAAACGACTGATGTGAATCAAGCTCATCATGAAGCCACAATATTATTTTCTTTCATAAGGCTATTCGATTGTGTTCGCGCGTCAGGAATCTTTGAAGATGGAGAAACACGCTCCACCGCTCGAAACTGGATCATTCGATCAGGAACATTCCAACGCGGAAGCATCCTCGCTGATTGACGAACAGACTGAGATCGCAGCCGTAAGCGATCACGAGAGCCGGGGACAGACTCTAGATTTGGGTGCATGCTGGTACCTCCTGGCTAGCGGGCAGCGTAGAAAGACCGCTGGATTCCCAGAATATCAGGAGTTTAGTGCTTGATAAACGATTCATCGGAGAAATTCTGCGAACGCGACAATCTGTGCACATGTGCCCTCCTTAATTTGGCCGAGGAAACACGGTGATTCGATTGTTCTGTTGCCGGGGAAGCTCTCGCGATTGATGGCATCGATCCGAGTTACGAGTCTCGCCGGGAAAATCGTTAAAGGCCGTGGAAATTATTTCAACACAGATACACAATAGATTTCGATTGACAAGCCATGAGAAACCGAAGAAGAGCTCAATTCAAATGAAGACACTAGCCAGAGGGTAAATTGCGAGCAATGCAGATCGTCAAAGTGAGAAGAATAAACTTTGGAAATCGTTTCCGACTCGAGAAGACGACACCTCATCGTCATGATTCGGATTCGGGGCATCTTGTCCGGCTGCCAACTTGTGGAACGCTGAGAAAATTCTCGGAAAATCGGAATCGACCCGTCGCACAGTGCGAACGATGGAGAATAACAACTTTGACATTCCCCTCGCGGGACAAGGAGTGAATCTCACCGATCACCAATTTCCGCAGATGCATCCTCTTGTGCACCGATAAACTCAATTTCTCGAACCGCAGCGATTTTACGGAGTGAAACAGGTAATTCAGGCGGCAATATCATCGATCTCTTGAAGCACAAAGAATGTCAGAGACCCTTCCAGTTATCAATCGCGTTGCCGATGGGGCAATAGTTTCGAAGCAGACTCTTTCGTCAGCGAGCAATTTATTTAAGTGAACGGAAAGCTCGAGTGAGACGCAGCTCACAATAAGCGACCTCTCAATAATTATTCTATGCACCGAGCTATCGAACCGTTCGGAAAGGAGGTGGAATCCCCTTCCAGAGCCTGCGAACAGATAATCTCATTTTGGAAATTCTTACTTTCGGAAACCGGTTTTCCGTCCGTCCCGTCCCATGTCGCTGAATTTTGCACGCTGATGGAGGAGTCGACCCGAAAAAGTATCACCGTTGTGAATCGTATTTCTTTCTCCGAACCCACGGCTCCGGAAAGTCCGTATTGCGCTGCTGCTGCTGCAGGGAGGCATTCAATTCCACAAAGGCACATGGTTCGAGCAGCAGGGAGCGTAGCTTGAGCTCCTGTTGTCGATTTCGCAGGATCCAACGCACGAGCTCTGGGCTCCTCTGCATTCGGAATCCGTCCACGCAAGCAGTATCTGAGCTAGTGACCCAGAATCTGAGCTGAACGTGAATACTCGGCGCTGTTGTTCGATCGATATCTTTCATTTATCCACCCCAGTGGAGGGACTCACGATAACCCATTCCCCAGCTCCTCAAAAACGTTCCTTCCTACAATCAGCGTGAGGATCGTTGTGTCTAAACACGGCTCTGACCAGACCATTTTAGTAATGCGGGCAGGCAAGCGCGACCAATCATATCTAGTAAGTTGCGTAATGAGATTACGCTCCTTCCTGAGTGTCGCTGAACATCCAACCTGTAAACCATGGAAAGTTCCCCATCTGAAGCTTCCTCGACAGATGATCCGGCTGAATGCGCCTCGCCACCGCCTGGAAGCGCCATGAGCAATGTTGGGGATTGAGCGCTTCCGGACTCATTGTTTTTGAACGCTGTCGCTTTTTTTGCCAGCTTCACGGGGTCCATCCCCTCTCTCATGTCCCAATGAACCGCGCCTCTTGTTTTTCCGTGGGATCCGTCCCACGAAAGAGTGGAGTATTGTACCAGCTACTGCTTTTTTCGAGCGGGGGTATTCCTATGAAAGGGATCAAGAATATCCAGGACTCCACTCCGGCCCAGCCCAGAACTGCTCTACAGGAATGAACACTAGACTTGATTTTCTGATCGCGGGGCGGTGCCGGACTCTTGAGCAAAAGGTCCAACCGACCCTACCTATTCCCTCCCAGGTACAGCGCTGGGATCTAAGGTCGATCCGTCCTCGTCTACGCAACGATTCGAAACATGTTGTCACTCGCGAAATCGTCGGTACCTATCGACGCTCGTCGACGCATTGACTAACATTGACGCAGCATTCGGACAAATATAAGGACGCACCCGTCTACAAGAGGTACAGCCTACGTGATTCGTCGACCTGAAGATCGGAATGCGTCACTCCGGCTTTGTTCCTCGGCGCCTCGCTCATTCGAACACGCCAATACTCACAAATCTAAGGAAGAGTCTCACTCCCTGCTTAGTCAGTGGTACTTAGAGCCATGTCGATCGGAGCGGTAGTTGGCGGTCACATGGCTACAAGCAGAGCAATAGCCTGCTGTATGCCAACAAACTATCGATTCGGGGAGCTGTCATTAATCCCAATAAGCTCATAATAGATCTGAGTGCTCATTTCTAGCGTTGTCGGAATGAGTGAACCCATAATTTATCTGTATGAGCTCGTTTAATGGTAACGAGGCTTTGACGAAAAAACAGGATCACAAATTTCTGCTGCTACCGCTATCAACCACAAGCGAGAGAAAAGCTGCGGCTCCGTGGAAAATAAGCGGGATGATCGCTCAGAGCCATCAGATCTGGTTCGTGATAAGCAGTCGCTCAGGACGCCGATGCCATGATCGGAAAGCTTCAGCAGAGGTTTATAGTGGCATTCCTGAATCGATCTCCCCTACGTACCCGTGAAGAGCTCTGAGCTCGAAAGAATCTCGGGGCTGTTTTTTTTTTCGAAGTGACAAAGATTTTTTTTCTGGGTGGAGCGAGTGACTTCAAGCTTGTTCCCTTGTGTTCTACGTCCCTCATGCATCAGCACGCCTTCTCATGAGACATTCGATTCTCCGACGGCCTAGCCGATGGGGAATGACTCCTTGGAATGCGATGCATCGAGAAAATGCTCGCTCCACGCACGGACATCGGTCGGGGTAATGGTGATTCTCTCGTTCGGAATTTGTCCGTTCCGGCAATAAGTAACCTACTCCGTATTTAAAATTATGCTCCTAGCAAAACGACAATCACTTACCAACTGCGCTAATTTGAGCCATCCCGGAATGGTGCGGAAGTACTCAACGTTGAGCTTCGTGAACGTCACGACTGGCCCCTGGCCTTCGGTGAACTCCGGCTTCAGATTAATAGAGGTCATCCGTGCAGATTGCGGATGGTTATTAGCGGCCGCATGCTGCATGTGAAGTGCGTGCTCCCGTCCAGCCATTTCGGATCGATCAAGTCCCACTCGAAACCGAATGAAGTCCTACGCTTTCGCGCTGAGCCGTCCGTTCGCCGACTCGCTGCGACCGCTGACCGTCTTCTATGCTTCTACGTAGGCTCGATTTTTCACGTTCGAACTTCTTCACGCGTTGAGTGGAGGTGCCTTGCGTTTGACTTCCCACTCTGTTGACACTGATCTACAGAAATAATCCGAGAATGATCTTGATCGATCAAGCACTCTGATAGGAAGCTCCGGCGGACGGCTCGATGAAGCTCACTGACACGCACTCACACACACACACTCTCGGCCGAGATCTCTTTGGTTGAATTGACGTTATCCTCGGGTGACGGTTCCCGCGTTCCTGCGGAGCGAAGCACGTCCTGTCTTGATGACAGTCGGTCCGTCTGCCCGATTGTCTACAAATAATAAAACAGTCGGCGGCACTTGGGAGCCAGACGCAACTGTTCGGTACGAGCAGCTTCTCCAACTAACAGCTGTAGAGACAGACAAGCGACGACTACGGCACAGCGCACTGCGAGAATTGGCGAGTCGGGCGCCTCCCGCCGCCATAGACGGCTCCTACGTCATCGTCAGAGCCCTCTGCCGGCCTGCGGCCGTAACTCAGACTCCTTTTCCTTTGCTTCGATGATATTCACCCCTGTTCTTACACGGGTATTCTCCACAGAAGAGCAGACACGTACCCGGAGCAAAATACAGAAACATTCGCGAACCGATCGCTTCGAGCACCGATTGGTTCGCGATGATGCCCTGCATCCCGGAGCATCGTTCCCCGAATAGCCAGCGAACCGCGATTCTTCACGTCGGAAAGATTCAGAAGGGGACACTATAAAAATCGGAAAATTGTCCAATGAGCTGGAGCGTTTTGGAGAGCTGACAAGAACGTATTGTTGCTGGTTGGAAGTGCCAAATTCGAGCAATCAAATTCGGACGATTTTCGGACGGCATCATTCGTCATCGAAAGTCCTATCGATGTCTCCGATCGTTCTACAGCTTGGCGCTCGATATTCGTAGATCATGGCCATTGGCGGTATATTTTTTTATAGGACTTATAGAGTCGCGACAGACTTCAGGGACTCTAAATATCAGCTCGCCGGCCAGACTAGGGAAGGAGCGCGGTCTTCTCGCTGTTTTGAGCAGATTTCCCTGTTCAGAGTGTTCTCGCTGAGATGGGGAACAGATTCATCCGTGATCTGCACCAAATACAAGGGCGGCCGTGCATTTTTTGAGTGGCACCGAGGTTCACCGACTCGCCCCGCCATGCAAACTTTATCAATCACGTCGCTTCCTGATGCTTTCGCATCTCAATAACGGGCTTCGGGGAACCGCATCCCCGATTCAGAAAGAAAAACGTGGGAATCCACGAAGCTCCAGTCTGGGCTACGTAGTGACGCCCCGGGGGAGTGACTCCCTCGAACAGGAGCCTCGACCGGGACTCGATTTTTCCCGCGTATCATAATTTCCAGAATGCGGCTCATGTGGGAGGAGAAATTCGATTTTGATCGGAAGGATCGAGGACTCCCAGCAGAGAATCTGGGACGGGAAAGGAAAAACGAGCATTGAAACTTTCTCATTTTGTCGCAGGGAGATCGTGTATTCCTTACAACGAGTCTGTTTCCATTCCGTGAAGCGTCTGATGCAATCCCTCGGAGAAGGTCGGCACCCCGAATTAGCGGAGGAAATCGCATTGCGTGACCTGAAATCCATTGCAACGGGGAATTCAGACTCGAGGTAAACTTGAGAAAATTTCCCGGAGCGAAAGCGTTCCATAGCCGGTAGTCGCCGTTTCGCTATGGGTGTGGTAAGTTACGCGAGGCAGAACAACTTTTACTTCCAGCAGCATGATCAAACGTTTTTGTCGTTTGCCTGCGTTGCCTGTCTACCTGATACTGACTTGTCCGCTCGCCAGAGTGATGCTTGGACTGACGGTATAGTGAGCTGCGGCACCACCACTACTCCCATCAGTCAGTCCGTCAGTCACTCAGTTCGCCCGGCAGACAGACAGTCCGACGGACAGACGGCTGGTTTGAGAGAGCTGAGGCGGAACCACTTGATATTGTCACCGAGCTGTGTTCGAACGCAATATAATAATGACGATGATAGCAATCGGAGGAATAATGGGACGAGGAAAGTGCCGAACAAAGGTCCTGCATCCGTCAACGTCGGAACGATGACTTCGGAGCGAAAAACTCTCTCGGGCTCCGGCGTAACCGGATCGGTCCCTCCCAGAACGATCATGAGATCCAGATGTATCCCCCGCCGAACACCGAATTCCAGCTGGATAGGCGATGATTCATTATCTCCCTCCCCGTTCCCTGGGAGTCCCAATTTCAACCGAATTCGAATTCCTCGAAGCGGGAGCCTCACTGATTCCGATACGCTCACACCGATGATTTCAAGCGGGAAATTCGGTGGCGCGTATTGGCTCCCTTGGTCTGCCGAGGGAAAGTCTGGTTCCCGAAAGATATCAGATTGGAGAAAATTGGCTCAATCTTCGAGCGAGACAAGTGGCTCAAACCTCTCGGATCACGTTTATTTTTTCTTTCATTGTGCTGGGGAGGACGCCCTGATCAAACAAGCTGGGAGCCGCTTCGCTAGTACCTCAGCTACTCGTCGAAGAATACTGCTTGGAGACTTTATGAAACGCCCAGATGCGATGAATCCTTCCAACCAAATGCAACTATGCTGGGTGATATAGGTACCTTGCTGTTCGATCCGATATCCCTCCCCCTCTTGGCGAAGCCTCAAGAACATAGCAACGATTGGAGCCGGAGCTCATGAACCCCACACAAAAGCATTCGTGATTTCAAAGAACTTCAATTGCGCAAATTATTCGCCATCCCAGTGAACGGGAGGGGATGAAGCGGTGCTCACCGCAGACAGCTTCAAACAAACCTTTAAAACACTGATGGCGGGGAAAGATGGCAAGCCTCAATAAGCGATTTTCCCGCTCTTACAGCGGGTCAAATGTTTATTCAGCGTCGACGGAGCGTGGGAAGGCCCCATCGCTGTCTGTCGACCCTGTACTAGACCGTAATGCTACTCGACTCCTGGTTGACCCGAAGTACAAGACAACGCTGGGCTTATCTTGAATTTGACAGGAGCCGACTCGACGTATTGCGAGAAGTGGACACTGGTGGGGAGAAGGGGGCGACGAAGATGAGTTCATCGGAACAGAATCATGGAGATCGCAAGGGTAATGATCGCGCTTGAATAAAACGGTACAACTTCGTGACTGCAGCGACCGTATCGATTCTGAGATTCCAGAGGAGAGATTCCGCTCCTAAGATCTAGTGAGCGATTTGAACTTATTAGACAATACGGAGCTCGCGGAACCTGCAGCGATATTCGTTCTAGGGCACGTAAGAGCTGATAGAGCCGCTTGTCGACGACGCACATTTATGGCACCGGCGCTTTCCTATTTTAAAAGCATGTACCTAATATCGAACCAGATCGCTAAGAATTCCGAAGAGACCGGGAATTCGGGTGACCCGGACCAGACCATAGAACGAAAACGGGGCCATACGAACCTTTCCCGATGATGGTCTCAGGTCTCACAATCAGCTTAGGATTACGCTATAGGTATAGGGCTCTCAGGTAGGGAATGGGAAGTATTTTGTGACCCAATCTTCTCAAAAGCAGAGCTTCTATCGGAGAAAACTCTCATGGACGAAGTTACCCGGAAGGAATAATTATTGTACCGGTTAAAATCAGGAGGTTGATCAAGGGACGTTCCACGTCGGAGCTCGGGCAGGAGAAGCTTAATCCTGTCAAACCCTTGTAAACGGGAACTTCCGAGCGTTAAAGTGAGATGGCTGCAGTCGTTCGGCGCGACCTGATCCATCCAAAGACACTCAATCCCCAACATGGACGAACAACCTGTTATATTGGTTCGCGAAACACAGTGCGCATCGCCACCTCCAAACCATGATTCAGCTCTGATGACGAGGTACCGAAGTTCACCGAGTTCCCTTAAAATCAGGGAGAGAACGCCGACGGAACAGTTCCAGATGAGCAACCTTGGATAGTTGGATAGCCGGACAGTTGGATGTAGAGACGAGGTTATCAATGGTTCGACGAGTGCGACGAACCGTGGAATAGAGCAGAACGAGCGATCGCAGGGGAAAATAGATTATTGAGGAAATATTCATTTGTTTTCCCTTTTTCTGCTGCATTCTCAGACTCTTCCGATTACTTGTTCGATCGATCTGGCTCAACATCCAAATTCGAGTCGATTTCCGTCAACTTCCCGATCAAAGTCCCTCTCCAATCCCCTCTCGATAGCAGCTAGACCCCCTCCTCCTCCGGTGAGGCTTTCGACGAAGTGAAATCCGCCCTGGAAGATAAGCCCCTCACCCTTTGATGCAAGGTTCAGCTCGGATTTCTTATCATCGAATTAGATCTTGTAAACATTGTGAGATAAGGTGTGAGCTTATACTCATTCCATCTAGACTGCTGCTGTTGTGTGTTGATCGCCGATCTCCACATCGAGGACACGCCTTCCTCACGTTTCCGTCATCGCTTCCCCGACGCGAGGTCCTTCTTGAAAAATCAGAAGCCCCCCTACAATAGGAGCCTCCCGCCGGGGGCATCTGAGGAATGAGCCGGGGAAATAATTGGGGGATTGATAGTACACTCATGCGTGCTGAAAATCCGCTGTGACGGTTTCCGTTGTAAGGAGATTTGAATGTATTCCGATCTTGGATAGATTCAAGCATGGTCGATTTTCACGATCTCGGACTCAGACCGGGAGGATCGGCATACCGCTTCTATGATGCAGCTGACACCTGGGCCTGGGAGGTCTCTCTGTGCCCAGAGAACCCACCGATTGCGGAGTATTGTATATCTTTAGAAAATTGGTCTTTTGAAAAGCCAAGATGAGAAGGAAGAACTGGAGGAATGAATCTATCCAAGTCCTCGCTGCGATTGATTGTTTGGATCCGGTCCACTGTTTGTCAGTGTACAAGGGACTGTAGTATTAGGGCAGAGGACAGCAGTCTCGGCTCACTCGCCCTCGGATTTACGCCCGGTGTAGTCCTCGGCTGCACCCACAAAACGTCCAGCCGCCCACTACTATGTACTCATGCTGTCCCGCGGATGCAGACGCTTATCTCCTTCAGAGCGACATTCATACACAATACTCTCAGGGAGACTGGATGAACTAACGCTCCAAGCAGCTACACTTCGAGAAGCACCTGTCTTCCGTGGTGAAATTTCGTCATCGGGAGCTCAGCGAATCGAAATTAGTTCGGCTACACCGACGAAAAACCCTTAAAGCACAATTGAGACATTCCGGGCTCCTCCTCTAGACGCACTGCTCCGCACAGATGACTATTGAACTGACTTTCCGGACGCGCTGGAAAGATAGAGCTTCCGAACCGCGAGGATGGCTGATTACTGACATTTATTGACCGAGTCGGAACGAGCGTGATAACACCGTCGGGATCGATCACGAGTGGGTCTTCGACTCTCCATCGATCGATCGATTTCCAATGCGAATTCTCTGAGCTGCGATCAGCTGTAGGGTAAGGTTCTGTCTGCCACTGACTGAGTGGTGCGCCTTGACTCTTCCAGTCGCTGACCGCGCATGCGCGGGTCCATGTTCTCTTTCCAGCTCGACTGAGGCTCGTTTCCCTTTCATCGAGATTTGATTCAATCGAGAGAGTTCTCTATGTGCATCGGCTCACCTTATACAGAGACGGGCGCGATGAGGAGGGCTTGACTCCGATAAGCCGCGGTCCCTCTCCGGGATCGCTAGCGAAAGGTATTTCTAATACTGGTCGTTGATGTCATGCGATTTTTCATGTCTGAACGATTAGTTTCCTGTACGCGCAACGAACCCCCGGAGGATCGTTCATCACAATACCGCCAGACTTTAGGAAGTGTGGCCCGGGATTCATGACGTTGCTGCCTGAGGCTGAAGTCGCTTGGTTCCACATGGTGCAAATCTCATCCCTTTCCGGGGATGTCTCTCCTCTTGTGAGAAGCTAAGCTCCGTCTCCGCGGACTTCATCGCCATGTGGAGTTTCCGCCAGATTCGGGTACATGACAACTCGAGGCCAGACTCGATGCACTCACAGAAATTTTCGGAAAGGAATCGCTTTGGAACTTTGTTGCACAATCACAATTTAGCACAACTATCGAACGGGATTCCGAGGATTTTCCGGGTGACAATGATCAGGGGAGATGCTCGACGGGGCAAATACTTTCTGCGTTCACTCCGTGGTGAGTCACCGCCAACGAGGCGGGTGTATCGCAGATCCCTGAGAGGCTGTACTTTCCGGAGACCATCGATCTGCTCCCCAAAGGCCGGATGATCACCGGTAAACCCCGTAAGCGCTATCATGAGCTCAAAAATCAGGGACTCACTCAGTGGCAGGTGCATTTTGTTGAGGTGCAATCGAAATTCTTCTCCACTCGACTCTCTATCTATCGAGCATGACTTCGTAGCTCATAGCATACCGAGGATGCATAGTTGTACGCACAGCGATATTCGGCGAACGAAATTCGAGGGAAATTTGATCGAGCCGGCAGCTTGAGGCCAAAAGGAATGGGAGAAGTTCTGAAGGCTCAGAGTACCTAAGCGTTGGAGACGTAACTAGACGACTCAGCGCGGAAAATGATTCGGCGCGAGTCGCAACATGTGTCATCGATTTCTGCTCTCACGACGGTAAAAAACTTCAAGAGTGAGGGAAACTTTGAAACGTCAAGTCAGGCCACATTCATCATTCGCCATGTTACCCCAAAACAAGGATGTGATGAGGGGCGGAAGGTCTCTTAGAGGAGCCCTCATTGTCTGCCGAAGAAATAGTCCCTCAAGGAGACCATCGGCGGGATCAATCGAGCCCACAGCGAGAAACTGGAACCCGCGTTGTAGCGTTTCATCGGGTATTCAAGGACGATATTTTCCTCTACGACTTCTTCACTAAATGGGATAAGTGACCGTAATTTCTGCATTCGGGAAAGTCGCGATGAAAGCGTCGATCACAGCCATCTTGAATCCATGGCGATCGAAGCGGGCTCCAGCGCCGGGAAGGCTCTCATGACCATATCAATCAGGCGGCGGTACGGTATTTCCGATGTGTTCGGGAGGAAAGCGTGGCAGAGCGCGATCGCCTGCTCTCAGTCAAAATGAAGAATTACTGCGCGAATTTTTCCGGGGCTATACGGGAAGTTTCTTTCACGAAGAGTCCCTGCACATAAGCGATCCAGCCGGTCGCTGCATGTCGGCCGAACAGATAGATGCGGTTCTCGCCCCCGATGCCCGAGTCACGTAGGAGAAATCCCCCGGTGATCCTGTCTCGCATCGGCACGTTACGTAAGCTTTATGCGAGACTATCGAGGCTCGGCCTATTGGACAGGCTTGCGCTTGAGATGGCGCCCAGCAGTCAGTTGATTCTCGATTCTATAGTTTGGTGTTTTGGGAGACATCCTTGAGCTGTGACTCTTGAACCTGCCGTAGAGCTATCGAGCGGCTGGGCGGGAGCATCTTGCGTAGTGCGGGTTTTCGTCTGGACTCGATGTTGCTTGCAATAGTCGCCTCGAAATCTGCATCAATATGCTCTCCGATCACTTCAATGAATCGGCCGATTACCACAGCCGTGGGCAACCGGGATCGCACTCATCTTTGAACTCGAAAGGCCAGAATCGCACGGAGCCCGACGATTCATCGTGAGTATACCTGTGTTTCCGGTCGGCGAGCTCATCCTTCCCGCGTCTTGTTCCGACGATGTTCGGGTTTTCGAAGCTCTCCAGAGCGTCCCTTGCTGTTTGCCGTGGGGGAAGGATTCGGAAGTCAAGAGGAATGGGTAGGAAGTGGAGAAAGTCCGGCGAAGAAGAGTTTTGAGCTTTTGTTGTTCGAGTTCAACTCATTTACATCTTTGTTGAGGACCGACGTTCGATCTTGCTCCTCGAGGGGATCGGAGCAACGGGGCTGCGAGTAACTGAATTCGAACGGTGAGAAGCTGCTTGGTGTTTTGACCCCATGGCCATGGCCTCATCGGGGTTCTGATCCGCAATTTTTGGAAGAACCACGGATGGGTGCATGCGATGTTGAACTGACTGATCACAGGCATTCCAGCACTCAGAGCTATGGTAGGAGACCGGGATGTTACCGATGTCACCTCCCTCCTGATAGCATCAGGAATCGCGGTGTTTCCAAATCAGAACCGAAATCAGACTTGACGATTGACGACGCGGTCTCGCGTTTCGCCTCTCCAAATTCATGAAAATACGCGTCGTGGATTCTCCAGAAAATCTTCAGAGCATAGTGTCTCGTCATTCCCCAGTGTTCTAGTTTTCAATGTTTCTTCTTGCAGATGCGATCAGCCCAGGCACTCTCAAAGAGCTGTAATTTCGAGTTCGACTGGCGAAGATGGGAGATTTCCCGAGGAGAACACCAGCAAAGGCTGGCATTTCCGTCGGCCGCGATCAGAGAACCAGGAAACTCCGAGTTAACGCCTCGGGCGGTGTTTCAGCTCATTCTAATTATAGCTCATATTGATTTTTTCCACAACGGAAAAAAAATATCGAATGTGAACATTCGATCGCATTCATCGAAATACATTGATCTTCTCCTCTCTCGCAATTATTCGAGACACACGGTCGTAGTCAAAAGTCATTCCGACAGTCTCGATGCGAAAATAATGATGCGTGCCGTGAATTTGACGGTCAAAGTCCTTAGTTCTGCTTCGCTATTCGCAAGTCGTCAAGGAGGCAGATTCCTTTTTTATTAATTAATTTTGATTAATTAATTAATTAATTAATTTTAATGAGCGGAGTCTGTAGGAGTGCAGAGGGTCCTTCGACTTCGGAGGCTTAAGCGACAACGTCGATTAGCTCGAATATGGCTGCGGTCTCCAACTCCACGATCAGCTTCCAACCCGTTTATTTCCCCCGAAGACCCATCCTATTGAACTCGACTAGGTACTTCCGAAATCCTTGATGTGCCTCCCAGACATCGTTTTCGCGCGCAGCGGAATCGCGGCTACTTTCCGTCACTCACGACTCACGACTGACGAATGTATCGTTGTACTCAGGCATGATTCGCCGACCCTTCCTTGGTATTCAAAATTCTCGTCAGTGGTTTTGAGGTTTCATTCTGGAGCCGACGAATAACTCGACCCCGGTTTGACTTGAGAATTCGGGAGCTCTGTCGTATATTTATCGGGCGTACTTTTCGTCCGTGGTCCCGTACAAGCACCGAATGCAGGTGTTCCATCGTCTCCCTCCGTGCATGAAGAGTCCCTCATCAGATTGTAGAGCAATCCTAAATTGTCGGAATTCATATCCTGCACCAAACTCGGGGAAGGCGAGGGGGAAGCGACGAACAATCAGCTCTTCAGCGGAATTGAAACCTGGAAATTTTCTAACCGATGCTGGGTGTTTCCACCTTATGAGACGGGGATCGAAATATGAGGCGGCAGGAAGCGACAAGTCACTGCTAGATGCAGGGCGAAGCTTATTGACCAGGTCAGCTGACTGAGCCAGTGTGAAGACGTTAGAGATGCTTGAGAGAGTTCTGGCTTATCGTCGGCTTCAAGCAAAGATCATCGTCATCAGGGCTCGATTCGTCTGCGACCCTCTTTGACAGAATTTCGAAATCGCACGCTCATCTGCCTGCATCTCTTGCGCCCTTGGACCGCATGCCTGATGTATAGCGTCCCGTCATCCTTGAGGAGCGCCATTACTGCGTTCCCGGGTAGTGAGGAGTCTAGTTGCGATATCATTCATGCTCCGAGGCCTGATTTATCACTCATTCCAGGGCTTACCTAATAATTACACTAATATGTTCTGTATATATCCAGTTCTGTATATATGCAGAGACTCGCGAGGAATGCTGCCCCTGATATCTTGAGAAGGCTTCCGATCCAGAACGACCCCAGATCGAATATTAATCTCATTCGTCTGAAAGCGACGATATTGAATTGAGTTTCAGCACAGTGGTCGAATGCGAGCTTTCACATCAACGAGAAATCCAGCGAGTCGAAGGCATACAAATGCTGGTAAAGCATCGCGGGGACTTGATCTACGTTTACATAACATCGTGGTGACTTCTCTATGAGCTGTAGATTCAACTCCTCGGCCCAGTGCCGCGCTAGGTAACTGACAATCACATAGATTGAGGTTTGTGCTTGCCGTTGAAAGCGCTCCAACAGCTGAGAGAATATGTATTGAGCAGATTCGTCGTCATCCGCATATACCGGGCCGAACCAAGCACCCTGATCTCGTTGATTGCTCTGGACTTTTCCGAAACCAATGATTCTCTCTCGACGCACCATCGCGTAGACAACGCCGTCCTCATCGTCTATGAGAGTTTTCCCTAATTCTCGTCGGTAGCCGTGTATTCTGGCATCGTAGTCCTCAATTTCTTGGAACCTCGGGTGTCCGTTGAAGATCTCCAGCAGTTCCGTTCCCTCTGGACGCTGTGTCTTCTTGAGAGGCTCTCGGAGCGCTCCCTTGTAAATGTGGGCGAAAGGCTGCTCGACAACTTGGAAGCCTAGACCCTCATAGAGAGACAAGTAGCTCGGCACGGCGCTCAGGCCGTAATTAGCGTTCGGATCGCGACGCCGTAGGCTCCGGATCAGACGCTTCGCTAGCCCCCGACCCCTGTGCGCTTCATCGACGCCCACAGTGCCGATGTAGTAGAGCCCCTCGGTCTGCCTCACGGCGCTCGCCGTGGCCACAATAGTTCCATTTTCGTCGACGATGCATCGGAACGCTTCCGGATCTTGATCGTACCATCGTTGGAAGAGTCGCACACCAACGTCGAATCCAAGATCTTCGAACCAGAATTTTGCTGCCGATTCCACTTCCTCCGGTCGCAGTTCGCGGATGTGGATCCCTTCTCCATGACCAGGATACTGTTCAGCCATCGGAGCGACTGGAATATGGAGAAAAAAGAGACGATGAGAAGTTGTTGCCATCAAAAATCGATCTGCGACTTTTCATTCGCTAGGGATTTCCGTCACCGATTTTCCCCCTCTCCACAAGATTTTTTGCTTATTTTTCCATGCGGATTTCAAGGAAAGGCTCCCACTTGGGACCAATGAGGGTCACCGCGAGCTCGGCCAAAACGCAGCTCCCTAGCTCCTCCGGAGTATAAACCCGAGAAGAAGCAGAAGAAAATTGATTTCGATACGAAATGCCCGATGGACTCCGCCGCTCGTTCTCGTGGTGTCTCTCCCATTCCCAGATATTTCCCCGGCGATGATAGAAGGTTTCTTCTGGATGCCGAGCAGAACGGGAAGGACTTCAGTAAGGCCCTGTCGGTGAATGCAATATCGTCACTGGTTTCAATACATTCGATTGAGTCTCACCTGGCGGATCCATGAGCCAACGGATTCGAGGCACTCTAATGTTAAACTCCCATCGAGCGAAATGAGCACCTCGTTTATATCCAGAAGCATCGGAGATTCACCGAGCGGAGCATATCTTCACCGAGCGGATATCTTGTTGTTGGCTCAAAAAAATAGAGATTTGTACGGACAGATGTCCCTCTCCCAGAGAAGTCTTTTCCAAGCTCTCCGGGGAGATGCCAACACTCGTGGTGAACAGCCACTTCAGGAGTCATCGAATGCTCGTCGACTTGCTCGATAAGAGGTGGATTCACCTACGCTAACGTAGAGCTTCCAAGTGAGAGTACCTAACTCTTTCTCAAAGCATCAGATCATTCCTCAATTAGTCTCCATCATTATTGGTTCTCATCCGATCAGCTGATCTACTACGCTCTTCCTTGCTAGCCATCGTCGTCAGGGTCGGTTCTCTCTGTGCGTCGTAAACACCATCAGCTAAGCCGAATCGTATCAGCTTCCAGACGATCTTCTTCAGATGGAGCGTGATCGAGGGAGCTCCGGCGCTCACGGGGAACGGGTGGGGGCTCCAACTATGCATGATAAGAACACATATCGGATACTGAGAGTCGTGAATCTTTTGGAAAGTATGACTCCTCCGTACGAGGTCTGTGTGAAGGCTTGGCAGATCAAATTGGGACTTCACCGGACTTGCCGAAGTCCTCACTCCTCTTTCTTTGACATTCTCGTCACGGACTCGAACGGTGCTTCCACCCATACTCGCGACTCGATAATGTCCACCGGGTCTCTCGGATACGATTCGATATTATCTGCTGATTCTAGCATGGAATTCCGCGGTTTGAGCCGTGGGAAGTCAAGCGAATTTCGGAATTGCCGAAGGTTCGATTAGAAAACGAGTTGAGCCGGCATCTGATTGTTGGGCTCCGGGGTTAACTAGCCGACCCGAATATTAAGACACAATTCATGTTGAGATAATAATCCTGAACCCGAATTCCGCCGGTACACCGAGCCGACGATATCTGAGAAACAGCACCCGAATAGACCGAGCTCGAGTTCTTGTGGATAATGCAATCCGAATTGAGTATCTGGGAAATCAACTAACCGTGCGGAGGACTCGGACACGGAAGTTCTCCCTGTCTCCTCCGACTATTCTTTCGCCAATTATCGATCAGCAGCAGGGATCCGATACCATGTTTTCAGGGATTCTCCCGATCCGACGCTCCACGAATGGAGAAACCCTCCGAAACAGACTCCTCGAACCACCGCTCAACCACTAGATCCTCCTCGTGTCTTGCTCGGACGAGTTTGCTCAATCGCAGGCCCGTAATGAGCACCAAACGTGGAAAAGATTTTCTCTCAGCCTGACGACACACGAACACATCTGATTTCGAACTCCGAGAACGATTCCTTCCCATGGGTATCAATCCAGAGCGGAATCGTGCCAGTCTACAAGGTGCGCGCGCGCGGCTGCTCGCCGCCGAAAATGGCGACCCGATTCGCCACGCAGCTAAACGTACCGTGTTCAATTTGCGAAAGCGACCATCTGCCTTCCGAGCGTTCCACGTCCTTGATCTGTCGAGATCGTCAAGGAGAAAATCTGGCTGCCAAAGCTTTCTGATTTCGAGCGTTCTGCGATATGCTCCGGAAGAGGCCCCACGAAAAAATGTCTGCTACGCAGAGCGGGACCTACACGCATACAAGTTGCAAATTCAGATAGGTAAAGCTCGTCCCCACACCGATAGCTACCTCATCTCCGAAGGCTGTGGATGATCCGAGAACATACTCCTGGGGAAGCATGACAGTGCGAAACTTGTGTCTGCAAGACCACAGTACATCAATGACGTTTTTACTGAGGATTAGACTCGTCCCCGTAGGCTCCTAGGCTTTCCGAAGCCCCGATCTTCACGAATGGCTTCCCCGTAGACGCGGCACAGGGTGTTTGCTGTGTCAGCAGAATGAACGAATGGCTGAGCGAGTTCCTCATTGTAATTTTTTGGTCCCCAAATTTTTTTCCGCCTATCGCGCGATCTACACGTGATGAGCGGCACGAGGCAAGTCAGGTGTTCTTGAATGAGCTAAACCTACGGTCGAGTCAGGGATATCGCGACTGTGACAGACAACGAGGGAGAAAGTTCCTTATTAGTATGGAAGCGAGCCCTCTTTGAGTCAGCCTCAGGAGTTTCCGGAACGAGATGCATCTGTTTTTTTCGGGGCGCATTTCCTTTGTGGGTGTATAGCAATGAACCCGAATCGGTGTCAGACTCTGCAGAGCGACTGATTGAACTCACTGAGGCTCCCGCGTCAAGGATGAACCTTCTTAGGTCGGATCGCCCTATACTTCCCGGAGTCGGAGCTTTTGCTTTTGAAGGGATCGATGTCCTGACAACTTGCAGAATCCGAGCCCAGAGGAACCGAACTCGGATTTCTGATCTGGTGAAGCCCTCCGCGCAGGCTTCGATACAGTGTCTTCGGACGAGCAGCGGAAATTCCGGCTGACGAAAAGCAAGCTTTCGCGATGCATCGATACAGGAAACCGCATTCTGGTCCGAGTTTCCCACCGATTATCGTGCCCCTGTCCCTGAGTCCGATGCTCTCGGCCGAGACGATGCACTTCCGCGCTTGCCCGTCCACGGGAGACTGCCTTAGGCCCACATCGCTCTTGCGGATGGGTGATCAGGGGCACGAGGTGGAATGCCGTAAGTTAGGCTGGTTCCGATTTCGGCCGGACGAGCGTAGGCTCCAAGGAGAGTACTTGTCAGGAGCCCTCCCGTAACTGCCTCCGTAGGTAGAATGTATCCGCGACGCTCCTCCTCGTGTAGAACAGAGCGCTCGTCGCCCGAATGCCGAGAAGCTTCCCCGCGGAGGAGACGGCTAAAGCGACCACGCAGTGCTACTTGGGTCTTTTTACAGATTATCTGATTGAGTATGCGGTGAAACCCTATCAATGGAAGAGGGAGAACTGGCAGGTGACATCTCGATCGTCTCGAGGTTGGAATCAGAGCTTCGTCTTCTGTTCTCATGGCCGTTCGTGTCAGGGCGTGGAGCCGACTGATTATATTTCGATGGTTAAAATGCTCAGTTCTGAATATCAAGTGAAGAAGAGCCACGAGATACCTCGCATAACAGATATTGGTAGCCGTGAAGATGCCGCCCGAATTTCTGTCCCTAGATACATCTGTCCCCTTTGCACTCGCTCTTCCCCGTCGACTATTCAAAATTCCTGCGGGAGCCTCACCGCTTGGCCAGCCTTTCTCCAGGAAGGGGACTTCACGGAGCGCAATCGAAGTTCACGCTAAGGAGTACCGTGGCGTAGTTCGGCACAGATCAATGGAAGAGTGATGCGAGTTTATCAGGGGCGCAGAGGCCGTTGCTCGCTAGTTGGACTACCAATGGCGTTCCGAGGATGGATGGTGCCCGGGGCGAGAACTGAAAATGGCGCCCCCTTCTCCCTTCGAAGCTCTCTGCCCGATGAAGTTCTCTACCTGAGTCGAGACTTATTCCCCATCGCTATGAAGCTCATTTCATTCTATCCTTAACTTTTATTCTCTGAGGCAAGATATACACACCCACAGTGACAAAAACACTTCCGTTCAGGAATTTCTCAGGATTAATGTCGTCGTTCTTCATTTCCCAAGTGAATTCGTCAGCCAACAAGTTGTTTGGCTCTAGAAACGAGTCTCCGGAAGTTATGGAATCTTGCAGCTTTCTCCCGTGAGATCCTGTCGATGGACGGAGTCATGTCCTCGCGAAGCTCATCCTCTAGGAAGAATGCCATATCTTCCTGTTCTTCGCTGATCGTGAGTGTTGAGATCCCTCTCCTCCTTCCGCGTTTCTCCCGTTCTATCCCGAATACCGCGCAGAGATCATTGGCATAAGGAATCGCATCGACGATCATTTTCGATCGATCCTCGTCGAGGATCCAATTAAGCATTAAGTATTGGAGGTTCCCCAGAGCTTCTGGTCAGGAATCACAAAGTTCGGCAAAGATCCACAGTTTGATACTGTCTGTGAAACCACGAACCGAACATCGCCCCTAGATCGGTGGCACCCGGGGCCGCCTTCCTCCCCCCCCTTCCACCCCTCGGTACGCTACTGTGGACTACATCAACTTCATTTCTGATACGATAGCTGTTACTTCCGTTACGAAAGATCGGATAATGTAGGTTTGGAAGGTTTTCACCCGACGACAAATTCAGCCCACGAAGGCACGAGGGTTCCGTGCCTGGGAGACTTCAGCCGGAGCCGTAATGGGTGCCCATCTTCCTCACTTATTCCGACTCATCGGACTTCGAGAATCGCGAAAGGGGCTTTGAACTCTAGCATTGGATCCGATGGAGATTCACTGTCTGAAACAAATCAGGGAGCGAGGGAAAGCATCACAAGATGCTCTCTGGAAGCGTTTCGGGAAGCTAAGAGGAGTATGACTCGAACCGAAATACTCGTAGAAGTCCGGACGAACGATTTCGATGATTAGTCTCCAAGAAATTAATTCCGCCAGCTGAGCGTAATTGTTTCCCCTTATCAACAGGAACTAACGGGGCTGGCAGCGAAAAAAACTGAACGATAGTGTTTCCGGTTACTTCAGACGCAGCCGCCACCGGTTTTGAAAACAATGGGCATAATTGCTAGCCGCTTTCGTTGTCGACGACGCTGACCGGCGGACGCACCGGTCGGTGACTTTCGCTCTTAGTTCCATGAAGCCCCTCGCGAGCCGGGAACCGGACTCCTATGTGAGTGTAGGCATGGGGCAGCCCGGATGTATCACCGATCTTCGCCAAAGAAAATTATCACTCGATCACACGTGGAGGACTTTCGTCTTTATTCATTTCTAATCCATTCGTAGCGCATTCCAATCTGTCGGCGTATAAATACTTCCTCCGAGGAAATGAAGATAGCCTGCGGCCGGCCAGATGCTACGGGCTCGTTTCCTCCAGCAAAGCGATCCGTCTTTCTGGACAGGAATCTCCAATCAGCGTAGAATCTGGCCCGCTGAGGGCTCCCAACCGGACAATCTACGGCTCCAAGTACACCGAATCGATCTACAACTAGAATTCCCCGAACCGAACATTCTCGAATCAGTAGTAGTAATCTGACAGGGTATTCCTCCGGTGACTGCGTCGATCCTTCACAACCGGCAAGTATTCGAAAGATGTTCGGGCACGACTCCTTGGATGGTCCTCTGGACGAGCAAGCAATCCGTAGCGTTTACGAGGGACGGGGAGTACATCGGCGGTTGATCTCAGGGGAGCTTCGTAGGTCGCGTACTTCCCAAGAGAGAGTTGACGTGCAGAACGGTAGCCTGAACTCGCCATCGGGAGAACTGATCGTCGCCATTGATTTCTTTCGACGACGCCGTGACTTTGAGGAAGGAGCATCGACTCGGCGACTTGCCGTTCCCCGTAGTAGCCGTCGGCAGCCTGGCTCGAAGCTACGCTCAGGAGAAGAAGAGCGGTCTGGAATATCTGGAAGGAGAAGCCGACTTGGATAAGGCTCGAGTAGTCCGGAGAAATACCATTCCGACTGCGAAGCTTCATCGAATTCGCAAGTTCGAGTAACACTCACCGGAGTCATGGCTCTATCTGTACCCGCAGGGTCCGAACTGCGCTTCTTGAAGCGATGCGCCCTCACCGGACACGAGCCTCGCCGCGGCGGGTTTCCTTTCGGTGGGTGGACGTCGCTCACGTCGCTTCCTATTGTTTCCAGCAAGATCTTTCGGCTTCCGAAAGTCTCCTACATTCAAAAAGCTACCCTTTTCTTCGCTCAAGTGAGCGGATATCGTTGCTCAAATACTTGACCTAATGAGTGTACGAGAGAGTGATCGCTGATCAGCGTGTTCGGCCACACCGTGAACGGATTATTGAGCGGGACCAACAATGTACGCGCGGTGCATGAACTTGATCGAGTTACTCAGGAGCTCGACGGTTGGGGCGATAGGGACCTCTTCGGGGAAGCCCCCTCGAGGAGCACGGGACGTTGACTATCGAGAGCCACTGATTCGTATGCCGAACGCCGAAAAAATCAAGTTGGGTGTTACTCGTTTAGCGTAGCAGACCGTCGGTACGGAGCGGGCGCTCCGTAGCTCACTCGTCGCATTCCCTCCATTCTCCATCGAAGGCCTGTCCGGAAATCAGAGAGAAAGACTCAGAAATGCCCTTGCCGCGCTCAAGCACGGGAGGATCCGTGCCGCGAAGTGTCCGGAATTCATCTGGAATCGGCTTCGGTCGGAGATGAACGAGTGCAAAGTACCTACCAAGTTTATTACCCTTTGAGGAATTTTCATGCAATGTGAATTCGAGCATGGTGAAAAATGGAGCGCTAACGTTAGTCACGCGAACCCGAGTGTCGAACCGAACGATGGATCGAGACCTCTACGTGCACACCCCGATATCTCATATCTCCCGTGGAAGGAGCACAACAGCTGAGAATCAGTGCTCAACATCTGTTACTTGACATTCATCCCGCCGACACAAGATCCCGAACCTGACGAAGCGAGCTCTAAGGAGGGAAAACGAGCTCAAGAGATAGACTGAGCGTCATGTTTATTTGTAACGATATCGGTCTGTATTCGGACACAACACATACTCTCTCACTTATAACTGTCTCAGGACCTCGGCCACATCGAGCAAGTCCTGATTCAAAATCTTTACGAGGCCTTGACACCGGCCTCATAGCCATCCAATGGCTCCTCAGGATCATCCCGATGCGGATTCCGTTGGACCTCCTTCTGTGAGAAATCTTCTTCTTGCTCCTCATTAGCTCTCGAGCTTAGATATATCACCTCGTCTGAAATCCATATAGTCTAAGTTGAAGGATACCGGACGATCAGCGCCCGCGCCCTCCCTCCGTATGATGATGTTAGATCGACGTTCCCGGTATAATCCCTATATGACAATGAGACGCCGACATTTCTAATGCCCTATACTTCGCTCGAGCGGACTCGTGTACTGCTTACTGGCAATGATTGTGGACGTTACGTGGGTGCTTCCTCTGGCATCGATGACTTCTCCGTATGCGAGGCGACCTTCGACCATCACCCGAGATCCTTTTTTCAATGACTTCATTATCGAATCGCGTAGATAGGGTTTGAAAACTGACACTCGGTGCCATTCTGTCTTCTGCTGGACCTCACCGGTCTCGTAACTGGAGTCAACAATAAGTTATTTCCGGTTATGTGTGAAATGAACCTGCGCGGAATCGATCCGTCACTGACAAAACCGAACTCAGCACGAAAGGGGGTGAGAAATGTAGGAAGCATCCGTTGTGGAAATTCGGCAGCAATTTCACGAGAAATTCGATATCGAGGATTTTTCCTCACGTGTAATTAGTGTTCGTTGCTATTGTGAACAGTGCCACTGGAGTTCTTTCGTTCCCCCGTAACTGAGGGTCGACGCCAACTCGTCCCAGTAAAGTTACTCGATTCACAGCTGTGCGGGAAGTAAAGCTTACGGTAAGTTACGCTGAATCCGTGTGATGGCTCCACAATAATTTGACCAGACCTTCGAATGGAATAACTCACATTTCTCCATTACCGAACCGCTGGTTAGAGTTGCAAGGCCACGCATCGATCCCTGCAAAAAGAATGTTCCGTCAGGCTGACAGAACTTTGCTGCCATCGATGAATCGCGCGGTGTCGGAGTTCTCAGGCTCATCTCCGCCGCAAAGTTCCGAGATGCATGCGAGGAAGCCGCTGTGCCCGAAAAACAACGGATTCGAGTCCGAGTCGAGATATCGAAGCGGCCCAATACTCACAGAAATCGTCCTCGTCAAGGTGTTGATAAACATTGTGATTTCTTCAGCGCTGTCAAGACACGAATCCACTTAAATCCTCTCGAGAAGATTAAGGAACGCTGACGAGCGCGCGAACTAGTAGTTTCTGCCAGAGCGTAGCTCATCCACAGGCGCGCGAAAGGAGTCGGCGTAGACAATCGTCCGCTATAGCTTCCCAATAGGTTTTGAATGGATGCATTCTACTTCAGACGGTGAGGATGCCTGCGGAAGACAATCGAGGATTCTCGAGGATCTTCTCTGCGGGACCGGACCTGATACCGTGCTCCGTATCTTCGTCCGAACCTTGACGGCGCATCGGTATTGGGCGAGCCCTGCTGTGGTCACAGGGTGGATCGATTGCGGTAAGTTAGCGCCCGTGAATTCAATGACGGTTCGATAATGCATTGCTTGCTTTCCTGGTCCTCAGTTCCCCTTGCGTAGACAGCGCTGTGCCGCGTCGAGACTTTCCGAGCCGCCTCCTGGAGCGAGTAAAGATTCTCTTTCGTTGAAACTCCGAAAGCGATCCCCCCGCGGTCAAAGTGAAGACGTCAAGACGCTCATGAAGCGCAACAAGTATCGTATGCATCTACCCTCCGAAGACATCGGTTGGTAGGCTTCGAGAGTTTGCTCTTCCGGTCAATTCTTTATCGAATAATAACTGGATCGGCGCAATGTAGAATGAAGAGGTTTCACGCACAAACAGCCAGGGAGAAGGTGCCTGACACTCGAGAAGCATTCCCCTCTGAAGGCCCATTTTCCTGTGCTCCGTAATCACCGAAGTGAGCCTAGGGACATCGGGTGAACGAGAGACTCTAGCTGTGGACTCAAGAACAAATACCCTCGAGTCCCGTACGGCCATCTAGAAGCGTCATTCTGCGTCGAGTCTGATATCGAGAGTATATGGCTCCATCACATGATCGAGCCATCATTGCTTTCAGGAGGACCAAAAGCTCGGCCGTCACTAAGCTCTCAGCAAAGATCACTATCATCATTGTCCTCACTTCTTTCCTACAGAAAATATTCCGCTTCCGTTCCCCCGTCTTCACCCCCTCGTGTGAGTTTTCCATGAAGTTCGAATACGGACAATCAGAGCGTCTATTCGGCATATCACCTGCTTCACGGAAACCACGGCATGTACGGCCGGAGATTCAGATCTAGTGAGCACTGCCGGTGAGCGCGCCAGGGACTTTTTTCCTGCAGACGGAAGGCGCCAAGAGCTCTTATTGACGTGTGGAAGCAAGTCCTCCATCGGAGATGAATCTGGACACTACGCAGGTAGGCTCGGGTTCCTCTGACGAAAGAGAAATTCACAGACGGGAGCGAAACTATGGCGAGAACCATGAGGGAAGCTATCATGCTCAAGTCGTCCTCGACAGAAAGTTCTTTAGCTACCTGATGGGTCGCCTCCGATGATGAAGTAAACTATTTCTCCGGTGCCGCATAATTCGTATGATTATCATCCTCACGTCCCATTGCAGACTCGGGAGGATTTCGCATCCTTATTGTTCGATCTCCTGCCAGCGAAGAGCCAGTGTCAGCTAAATCAGATCGCCCAACTGCAGCTCCAAACCCAGTCCGACGAGCCGGTTCTCAATTCGCAAGATTGCCGCATCGCCCTGGCAAGGGTCGAAGGATGCGAACTCAGAGTACGGCACATCAACGAGGAATTCGATCTCATCGAGGAAGACCTGTCGGCACTCAATTCGGATCTCCAATCGCTGAATGAGATCGATGCGAGAGAAATCGAGGCCAAACTCATCAAGACGTCTAGCGATGTCAACCTGTATCAAATGAAGGTCTGCAACGATTCCCAGCATCCCGAGATTAGTTCAGAATAATCATCCTCAAAGAGGTTCGATCGTTTCGGAGACGAAATCATGAAATACTCGTCCTCAGGTCAATGAATACGGGGATGTGACCGTTCCTGAAATGAGCTCGCTCCCGAAGGTGAAGGCCCTGCGCGAAGAAGTCCGTGGAATCAAGGAAACCCTCGAGCAGTGGAAGCTCAAAGGCGCTCTACACGAAGGGGTGGAAAACTTCCAGCCCAATCACCTCCGCAATTTGGTACGCGATAGAGAAGAAGAACTCAGGAAGTTGACTGAAACGATTGCCACGAAGATGGAGATACGCCGCAGTCTGGTCTGAAAGAATGGGACGAAAAAACTGGTGGATGCGCGAGCACTACCGGGAGAAGGATCGAGCTCATCGTCTTCCGTGAAGTCTCCCGACGATCTCCCGGCTCCTCCGGAACTGATCCCAGTAGGGTTGGCTCTTATGACCGAGCGCTCGAACATGCCCCGAAAGATTTCGGAGGCTAATCGCGAGCGATGACAAACGAAAATAAAGCCCGATAAAAAGTAGAGGCCAAGATCCTCCTCATTCTACGCTCTGGCCAGCCGTCATCAATCCCAAACATGTTACCAGTCATTTCCATCCGTAGAATTCCCAGTGCGACAACGTTCTTATGCTCATGCCATCTTGATTCCGGCCCATCTTGGAGCGATCGATTCCGATTCTCGAGAGCTTTGTGCTCGAATATTCGAGCGATTTTCGAGGAAAAAGTCTCGTGAGTCGGATACCCATTGACTGTCACGTAAACTCTGAGAGAGCAGCCGGATCCTGTCAAATCATGGGCTAAGTCAACGAGCTCGTCAACTTCCAGCCCATAAATCCCATCTGTCCGCGCCATGACTGTTCCACCGGCGAAAACTCGAACCACATTGATACGTCCTGGTCAGCTTGGGCTCCATGATGACTATTTATTCGTTTATCCTTTGCGCATCATTCGCATTGTGCTCCTCGGTGAGTTCTGGAAGCCATCCGCTAACGATGTGCAAGAACTTCAGTATTAAGCACGGCGGGCTGATCATCACTTCTGAGCCATCTCGATTGAATGATTCGCGAGGAGGGGCTTTTGCGCGGCTCTTCGCGGGGACTTCAATCGAGTTTGTAGCGTTCAGATGCTCGAGCACAATATACGGAAAAATTTTTCAATCCTCGACAATAAATTGGACTTGAGTTCTGATTTCTGTCCTTTCGACAGCAAGATATATTGGGTGATTTTTCGTCTCAAGTTTCCTGCAAACGAGCGAAGTCTCTGTCTGGATGGATGGTGGCAGCCAGGGAGGCGAAACAGCTAGCGGGGCAAACCGTGGGCGTGCCTCAACAGCTGTTGTCGTCCATACACGACTCGCTGAAAGGCACGCACGATATCATTCGAGAGTAAGTATTGGTGTCCACGGGCTTTCCTGGGGATTGGCGTTGCGGTCGCAGGTCAATAATCTGCGGTGCTCCCATAAGTCTCGCTCGATTCACAGGCTACAGATGATACCTCCACTGTCTAAGGAGGCCTTGTACCAGCTGAATCACTGGTTCATTACATACCCGGTCCATCTCGGGTCAATCTTGAACACTTTGATCTCACGCTATCCCGATTTCGCTCGAGCTTTCGACAAGCAGCTTGCGGGAATTCAATCGAGAGCCGACCAATTGACCATCGATGTCCTCAAATGTTCTGAGTCGCCCATCAACCCTCTCCTCTGACCAGCGCGGGAAGTTATCTCACCGTGACTCCACTCAATAGCGGAATCTGACGCCGAGGAAGGTCGTGATCAGGTATATGCTGAGAGCCCATGAGTCCGGAGACTTCGCTGTCCGCGGAGCGTGTCGATTTCTTAGATGTGGGGCGTACCAGTCCGGCCGTTCCTCTTCCCTCAAAGCAGACTGGAAGAGGATAATCCTGAATGCTCTCAAGAACTTCATCAGATCAGATTCGAATAAATGAACCGCAAACTTGCGGGGGGTTGAAGCCTAGACCGAAAGGCCAATACTGAGAGCATCCGTCTGGGGAATTTTTGCGTGAGACGTCGCCACACACCAAAATGCCCTCTGGAACAGGCCTCCCTCCCCCGTGGGGAACAGTGGTGCGCTTCGGCAAAACGCCGTTGACTGGAAAATACTCTGATTCCGATAGGACTCACCCTCGTGAGCACCCTAAGAAAAACGAGCGAAAATCATGCTGTAGATAATCATAGCTCGGCTACCGCTGATGACTTGCTTGTACCGTTCTTGGTCCGGAGCTCGCGCAGTCTCTCCCTCTAAGCTCTTACAGGAGTAGATCGGGAGATATCGTGGAATATCGGGAGGCCGCGCCGATGGCAATTTTTTCACGTTGCTTCCTGGCAGCACCCAGGACGAAGCTGCCTCCATCCAACCGACCGGCGGCGTTCGCGTTCCTCCGGCGTACGGTCTACCTGCTTCGCCGAACTGAACTTCTTGCAGCATCCGGTGCCATCCGATGAACTTGCTCCCGAATAGAATGTCAGTGAAGCACCGCCAAGATAGAGGCCCTATGTGAAAGTTGAGCTATTTCCGGACAGGATCAACGCGGAATCCCGGCCTCGGCGAATAGGAGGGTGACGGTAGTTCGACTGGATGCTGAAAGTATTCCGGGACGTCGGGTCCCTGGGATTGGGGCTGACTCCCACAGCGGGGAATAACGAGATTTCCGAAGAGGCGACGCTCGGATTGCGTCTCCCTGTGGCGCGGATTTCGGTCGTCCTCTTCATCGAGACGCTGCAATCAAGGGTTCCACTGAAGCGAAGAGAAAGGGTTGCTGGGAAAGGCCTCGCTGTTCCCAATCACGTGATGCTCGACAGCTGCTGGTCATCGACGGGTTGTGATCAAATTTCGGAACTGAGCGAAACCCCGTAGACTAGACCGAGTGCGCGAAAGGCTGCACGCAGGGCAAGGTCGCAGAAAATCACAGTCGGCGGATTGTCGGGGAGAAGCAATCTTCCAGGAATTCGTGGCGGAGAATGGATGAGATAAGTGAGGACAACGAAGGCGAAGACAACAACCTATTGTCTGTGGTAAGCTGACTCTTATTAATTAATGAATAATTAATAATTTATTGATTGGAGAGACGGGTGAAGGATCTGAATATGCCCCGGCGCTTTCGAGACGCGTCATCCGAGCTGCGCGGCGGCCGTGACGTTTCGTGCGATCGTTCATCGTTCCGCTTCCGGGAGCCTACAACTAACGACTTCCCCCTTCCCGCAGTTGAAAGCGCTGAGTGTCTCCGGTAGTCTCGGCGTGCAGGCCCTCACCGATTTAGGAGACGCCGAACGTTCGTACCTCCTGAACCTGGCACAGACATTGAACAGTGAGACGGAATCGTATCCGATTAGAGACCGACTCGGGAGTCACATCCATCTCTACCGTGAGCTATGCATCAGGAATCATAGTCAGCTTGAAGCTATGGAGAACGAGATTAGGCAGAGTACAAAAGACAAACTCGGGAGAATCCGTAGGGGGAAGTATCGGAAGGCCTTCAGGAGATCGAAACAGAAGTCCGAGGATCGATCTTCTGTGGATTCGTCGGGAAATTCCGATCAACGGTCCAAAGATGATGTCTTGAGTGAGAGTGGGAATTCAATGAGCTTCGATAATTTTCCCCTCTTAGAGGATGCGAATTAGGACCGCTCCGGGAGGAATCTGCACAGCTGAGTCCTGATCAGCTGACGTTGCCCTTGATAATGAGATGCCTCGCCGACCCATACTCCGATCATCCGGAAGAAATTGATGACATCGAGAATCGATTGCCCGGAACGATCCGATCTTTTCAGATCTCCACTGTCAGGAAGACGCTCGAACATGATTAACTCCATCGAATCGCGTGTGTCTCAATTCTCAAGTCGTTTCGATAGCACGTCAAGATCATCTCCTCCACGGTCATGCGGAGGTTCCATCAAAGTCTGCTGCATCCTCACGGTTGAGTGTTGCAGGAATCCCGAATAATCGAGACATTGTGATGAGTGATGAGTTTCACCGAATCTTCGTGTCGATTTCACTTGATCCCCATTGCTTATCTTCCCATCGCGTGGTGTCGGGACTCTCTGACTGCTTCGTTGTAGCTACGGTGAGAGCCATGGACAATCGACCCTTTTCTGCA